TTGTGCATATGGCCGAGCCTTATATGCGTGCATGGACAATAAAGAGAGGAATTTATGGCGGAAGGTGCACATGTCCCCAACAACATGGAGAGTAAAAACACCCGGTCCGATGGGATAACGCCTCCCTTTCGTAAAAAATGGACCATTACAAAGCAGACTGTGGGAATTAAAATAAGTCGTAGGATCACCGTTAAAATGGCAAAAAGCGTCGACTGCGACACTGGAAAGAAATCAATGTACTCTTTCCGTTTCTCAAGGCCGTTGTTTTTATCCACGGCGTCCTCATCATCGTTTCCTCCGTTGCCTGCCTTTTCGGCTGTTTCGTTCGTGGAAGAAGGGGAGCGTGCATTTGCGACGGTGCAACCAAGTACGAGAAGCTGAAGTGGTATCGCTCCAGCCCCGATTAATTTAATTCCGCCAATAAGTACCTGACCCGGGGGTGACTCCGCCAACCAACGCAGTGGCGGCACCAATGAAATAATGATAGATCCAATGGTGACAGCTATCGGTGGACTCTCTAAAAGAGCCCCTACACGCGAGAGCACATCCCAGAAAAAAGAGAATGCTTGATCTGAGTCGTCCATCTGAGTTGGCGGCGTGTTGTTCCCCGGGCGATACCACTCAAGCTGTTCTTCTATTGTCGCATTCCTTGTTATCTTCTTTGGTTCATGATTGTTTGCTACAGAAATCGGGTGTCCTACCGCACCGTTTAGTGCGGGTTTCTCTTTTGCCCCAGCAACTGATTTACCATTTTTGACGGGCAAGTAATTCACCTCATACGGGTATATAACAATTGTGTCATGGACGGCCTCCATTTTCGGCCTCTGCACATTATTCCTTTGCTCTTCCCCCTCTTGTTGCTGCAACTGCTGTTTACAAAGACGTTTCTGCTCCAGTCGCTTCTTGCTCGATCTAATAATGGGTTCCCCGATGGCCCACAGTCCAAGAGAGCAGACGATGTTGTAAAGAAAAACGTATGATTCTCCCCGCTCCACCTCTTCTGTTGTCAACCATGACACACCTTTTATATTTAAAAGAATCGCTAAAGAAAAAGTCAAGCCGTTTTGAAAAGTACATCCCAACGTAAGTACGCTGTGCCAACCGGGGTGAAGAAAAGGCCTAAATGCCCGTGAGCACACAAATCCAATGGCGGTGGGAAAGCAGGCAAGAAGTGGGGCCCAGTAGTACTGCTGCAACTCCGTCCAGGTGACGCGCAACACAAGGTTGGAGAAAAGAAGACACGGGAGAAGAATGAAAACCGAAATCACACTGAGGCCCTTAACGCTCTGCTCTGGCGCAACAAAGTGTTTGGAGACAAAAAGCCCTACAAGAGAGCAAATGAGGATCTTCCCCACCGTCATGGTTGTGATGGTTATGAGCTGCAAGGCGCCCATCCCCCCCATTTCTTTTTTTTTTTTCCCTTTTAAAGTTGTTTATATAATATATATATATATGTGTGTTTATTTCTTGCCTTTAATTAAATATGTTTGTTTTTATGCTTTTCTCTCTTCCCCTGTCTTTTATATCCCTCGTCCCACCAAAAGAAGGGAGGCAACCAACTAACCAACCAAAACAAACAAAAAAACAAACAACCAGAAACGGGGAAGCGACGGATTTATGCATCACACGCACACAAACAGCAGCAGCAGCAGCACCTCAAGCTGTGAAGGCGCACTGGGAAGCAACAATGAGAGGTGAGGAAACAAAAAAAAAAAGGAAGTTTGTCCACCGCGCCGAGAACACACGACATGCACTCACAAGAATAGAGTGGAAGAATGTGCGTGTGTGTGTGTGTGTGAATTGGAGTAAAGCGATAACAACAGTGCGCAACGCACACATACAAACACAACAACAAAAAAGGCATATTAGTAAAAAAAAATTAAACGGTTATTATTTCACCATATAGACCCTCACACTCTGTATTCTTTCCGTCAGCTCTTCGTCCATTTCACCATCACACGAGGAGTGAGCATCACGGCAGGAGTAGTTTCCATGGCGGTAGGCGAGGAATGCCTCGCGCACCTCCGCCACGTCAATCTCCTCCACCCACGACCGACACCAACTCTCAACAACACCTCCATCCTTCTTCTTCTCCCCCTCGCGCTGCCGTTTGCGGTTGAATTCAACCTCACCCTGTTGAGAGACCGGCCCGCCGGCAGTCCTGTCGCCTTTCGTCATGCCGTGCACATCATCTTCCGTAAACGAGGCAAAGGTTTCCTCTAAGCTCGGGCAACATATGAGCAGCTGGCCGCGGCGCGCCAATATTTCGCGAAGACGCCGCCAACACTTGAGGTGCTCCACCGTTGACGAAATAAAGTACTCAAAAACGTTATGAAGAATGATCACATCGGCCTCGCGAAGAACCTCCGCACCGGCCCCCTCAAGACAACTGCTGTGAACGAGATCCAGCTGAAGCAACGTGGGTCTAGTGGCAAAGCGCGCAATGGCATCGTGCTGCAAGCCCATCATTTTATCGTCAATTTCCACACCTGTAACTCGCCGTGTCGCTTTTAAACGTTGCTGGTGTGCGGCAAAGTAACAGGAAAGAAGCACCACGCCAAGACGTGAGCCAACATCTACAACGTGCTGACACGTAAAAGGAGCACTCGCATTCAAGATTTGCTTTTCACGTCGGCGTAGACACAGGTCAGTTGTGAAAACGTAAGAAGCGTCACTGAGAGAAGGAATCAGATAGCAGGAAATGTAAACCAATTGATCCTGTGAAAAGGAGTGTGTAATGTAGTCGCACAGACCAATCGCAATCGACCCACACGTTCGACAGTATTCCCGTGCGATGCACCCACGTTGCACCAATTCCTCAATGTCCTCTTCAAGATACATGAAGGCGTCGACTGAAAAGGTGGGCGGCCTCACCTCCCCTTTCCCTGCCCCTGGGTCGGCACCGCATTTTACGGGAGAGGCCAACGTGGAGGAATGTGGCACTTTTGGTTCGGCAATCGTGCCGTACGGGAGACGCTCTTGCAAAAAATGGCGCACTTTTGTGAGTGATCTGTCGACCTCACCAATCACGGTTTCATCATCCTCATCTTGCCTCTCCGCTTCTCCCTCCCTGCCACCGGGATTCCGCGTCCTACCTCTCTGGAGTTTGCATTTCTGCTTGTGGTACTGATCCAGCAGCGAAAGAAGAATGTTGGCATCGTCGTTGCTCCACGAGCCAAAGTCCTCCGCATCCAAGATGCCTCGCAGCTGATCAAAAGTTGCCTCAACTTTCGTTCCCATGCGATCCTCACGTCTGTCGTCTTCAGTAAAACTTTTTTTTTTCTTTTCATAAAAATAAAGACATTTTAATGCGTGTATGTTTGTGTGGAAGGAGAAAAGTAAAGGCAGGAGAAAGCAAACACCACCACACCTACAAACAAACAAACAAAAAAAACAAAACAAAACACAAGGCCCATTCCAATAAGGCAACAGAAAGGGAGAAAAAGTGCGTATGTACACATATATTGTCTGTCTGTCTGTGAGTGTGTGTGTGTTTGTGAAAGGGAAGGGGGCAGTGGATTTTAATGAGAGGGTGCAGACAGTCCGCCAAGACAAAACGGCAATTGGCCAAATAAATACGGAAATTAAAACACGCAGGAAAAAATGCAGGACAAAAAAAAAAGAAAAAACAGCGCCATCTAAAAAAAAAAAAAAAGAAAACCCTTTTTTGTTTTCCCTGTGCCCACATAACAACTGTTGACCCGGACGGAGTGAAAGGAAGGAGTCGCGCATGCACACATGCGTACATACCCAATCAAAAAAGGAATATATTCCAGTGAAACTCAATGTGTCCCATTTCGCCTCCAGATCTGCAAAGAAATCCCTCCGCCTCCAACTCCTCTAACAAATCTTCTGCCACGGAACAAGCCACCTGAATACTCGCCGCAAATTGCACCTCATCAATTGATTTTAATAGCGTCCATGACGTCGGAAACGTCGCTGTTGTGGGAACCGTGTCCCCTGATGCCTGATATTTGGAGGCGGGGTCTTTGGGGTTTATAAAACGTGGTCCGAGAACACGTGCAAGTTTCCCCAAGACCAAAGATGGATCCTTGTGTTGTAGCGCCATTCGACCGGATGAGAGTTGCTTCAATGTGTAGCGGGAGTATGCCTGTTTAGTCATTGCACGGCAGGACAGCAATACGTCACTGGGGGAAACCAAATCACTCCCACCACGGGCTTTATTATACAGAGAAAAGAGTTCGATTAGCGGAACAATCGGCATCGCACCAAAAACCGACTCATTCTTCTTATGCGTCATCCACGCATGCAGCTCCATCGCGAGCTCCTGGTGGAAGCGACCATTGGAGGAACCGGTGGATGACGCTCGCACCATCGCCCCAAGGCCAAGTGTCGCTTCAATGCTTTCAATTCCGGTTTCATCTTCGCCTGTTGTCTTTTCCCCACCTCTTTGCCTTTCACGAAGATATCGAATGCTCTCCACCAAAGAGGAAGCCTTCTTCATCACGTCGTCGATGTCACGCAGCGACTCACGCAATTGAACTTTCTCCGCAGAGGCCCGCATAAGACCCGCTATCCCGGCCTTATCCGTAACACTGAGCAGAGGCTTGGGCGGGCTGCAGTTGCCCTCTTCCTTTTCCAGAGAACCCGTTTTATCCAACGCACTCGCTGCTCTGTTCATTCTCGTTGATGCTGTGGTTGACACCGGAGCTGTGGCTACTGATTGTGTTCTCCTCGATAGCGGCGATGACTCTGCAGGTGCATCGCAAGCAATTTTTGGAATCCAGTGCTTCTCGTGTATTGCCCTCTGCATAGCCGCAAAGAATTCCTCCATTCCCCCACTTCTAAAAGAGAATTTCACATATACGTCCTCACCCGGAAGTGGAACTATGATTTTAGCATGCGAGAAGCCAAGGCGCCCCTTACTATAAGCGCTCTTCCCGGAGCTGTAGACGGTTTCCAGCGGAAGCCGCAACACGTGCGATTCTCCGCTTATTGTCCGAAAAATAATGTGATGGGTGGTGACTGTCAGCTTGCCATCCTTCCAGTGCGTCCGATTTTCCCCCTCGTAAATGGCAACACCGTTCTGGGAGTGCAAAACCACCTCTTCATCCCCCATAACTCCCTCGCCTGTCTGCCACTCCCAGAAATTCATCTGCTCCTTCCTGGACCCTCCAAACTACACGAGATAACCGTAACGAAATAACTAAGTGCCTCTAGCTCCTAATGGGGCGCTGGCTTATCTTAAATATATCCAGGCCTTGCAGATACGTGCGATGAGGCGTCTTTTCTGCTATTGGCGAAGACGGAGAGATGCACACGGCTGTGCCAGACAAGAAGTGAGCAGTGGGGAGCAACAGACGCACAGAAAAAGAAGTGAGTAAAAACACAATGGAAAAAAAAGATGTCGCATCCCTTTTTTTTTTTGCTTGCTTTAAAATAAATGAAATTTCGTGGAGCTTCCAACTACTCCTTCTTATCGTCACCATCATCCAATTTCACACACCGGCGGGAATAAAAAACACTGCCCAACACGCAACAGGAATAAAAGTGACAAAAGAACAGATGACACCATAAACGGCCCTTATTTTTCGTTTCTAGGAGACTTGACATCAGCGCTGATTGTGCAAGGGCGATGCTACAAAATGCGTCACCAAAATCACACTTCTTTTATGTACATCAGCAACAAAAAAAAAAAAAAAAAGGGGAATAAATCTCTCCCCATTTCATTAACAGCAACAATACTGGCAAATACAACGACCTGCTTCCCATTCCTCTCAGACAATACTGTCAGGATCCAACTGTTCAGCCCAGTTAATCAACATGCCTATCGAATCATCTTCCTTGGGTCCTGCTTCCGAAGATGGTCTATCACCTGCCCCCAAAGCTGGAAGAGTATATGAATTGCCCGCAAAAACGGGGCACTCAAATTGGTGAAATGCCTCTGTTGATAAACCCTTCTGCATTTCCGCTTCGGCATGTTGTTCATGACCACTACTCATACCAGGATGCGGACCATCGCCACAGAAGTTCGTACCTGTCTTATTACCGATGAAGCCGTTATCATGTCTATCGCCTACCGCTGATGGGTTTCTAGTGCCAGAACGAGACAGAGGGGATAATGCGTTCTGCCTAGGGAGAGAATTACACGAAGGTGGCGATGATAACGCAACGCCCACATCATATGGATGCCTCGAAGAACAATGTAAAGAAGCTGGAGAAGCGTGCCATGACGCACAAAATCCCTGTTTAATTGCTGCGGACGTATCCCTAAAATTCTCCACTAGCGTGGTTGCACCCGCTGCAGACGTGTTGGGAGGCACAGAAGGGGAAAAGTCCCACGGAACGCTTGGGAAGGGCTTTCCAGTGCCTGACACAACACCGTTTACTCGTTGTGAATTTTCTTCTGATGGCGCGGGTGGCACCTGATTGGAATGATGATTCACCTGAAAATTCTTCATGGCGGAAAGGGCAGTTTCATTACCGGATAATTTGCCAGAATACAACATCTGTAGACGAAGTCGTCGCTCGATGCGTTTTTGCACTTCCTCTTCGCTAAGTCCAGGTCCTTTTTTGTTCTTCTTTGGCGCTTGACTTTCCGGTAATGGCTGGCCTGCCTGCTGATACTTCGTCTTGGTATCTAACGGCCCTCCCCGCAACAACTCCTTCAAGAAGGGGTTGTCTCGGACCCTCGACGATTCCATGAGGGATGGCAACACATTGCTACCGCCATCCGTATCCGTGAGGGGTGTGGCCCGCCGCTGCGGAACCCCACGAATCCTGCCCGTGCCCAGTTCCGCGTGCACAGTGGTGGCAGGATTGGTCCCAGAGGAGGCCGGGTTGTTCATAAAGCAAAGTCGTACCTGATTTTCATGTTCGCATGATTTATTTCTTGAGAACGAGAGGGATTTTTTATTCTCCATCCCCTCGCTGCAGCTTCTGGATATAACACTGACAGAACTACTCAGGGGTGCCACCCCAGCGTTCGCCTCTTCCTCCACAAACACATCGACATCACGCACCGTCCCAATGAGGCGAAGAGTCGCCGCTTTTGAATTCTGACAGCCCCTGCGCCGCACCGGCGTTGGTGTAGAATTCGTGTTTTCCTTAGAGGTGGAAGAAACAAAGTCAGGCAACGCCCCTCCGCCCGCCGGCACATCGTCCAGGCCAACAGGGAAGTGATGACTACTGCCTTGGACGGCGTACAAAAACCGCCGTGAATTCTCCGAGGCCACATCACCTGCGGAGCCAGGAGCGTCTTGCCGTAGCCGCTCGTTCTCCACTCGAAGGTTCTCAATGACCTTCATAAGCTTGTACTCCTGCCAGGCACCCACGTACATGATGGAATTCAGGTGACTTTGTGCTAAACAGAAATCCACAAAAAAAAAAAAAAAAGAAAAAAATATATATATTTGTAAAAATAATTCATATTTTCACCGCGTGGTGCAGCCTGAAAAAACATGTCCGGTGGTGCTGCACGGGGAGTGACACCACAATCAAAAAAAAAAAAAAAAAAAGGCCGGCAGTAATAACAGAAAAGGAAAAAAAAAAAGAGTTATTTCAAAACAACAACAAAAAGTGTGCATTTCCCACATCATGCGGCACAAGATTCCTTCTTTTTTGTGTCGTAGCCACGCCGCCTGAGTCCTAAAAAAACAAACAAACAAAAAACAAAAAACAAACGATAATTATTTTCTTCCACGCGAGGTGTGCCATCACGATCCAACACACCAGAGGACACCCGCGCATTCTCTCCTCCGTCGTGGTTCATTGAACAGCAAATCCCACGCCGTCTTAAATTATAGCCAGACGATAAAAACGCCAAATCGGCAGAAAAAATTTTTTGGTGCAAGGCAGAATCAGACACAAGAGATACAGAAGCAATTTGGACTTGGCGGCGGCTCTCAGCGGTAAGAGGGAGGAGAGCGGACGCACACGGGCTGAGAGAACGCGCAGAGACACACATGCATACAAGAATCCCAGCACGCAATAGATAACAAAATAAGAGCCAAACAATCAAAAAAAAAAAAAAAAAAATAGACACAAACACGAACACAGAAAAAAAAAAAAAACACGCACAGAGAAATAGGTACAGCAACAAACAAAATAACAACAAAAACGAGAAAAAAAAACAAACAAACAACAACAACAAAAAAAAAAAAAAACGGCATCACTTCCTTCATTCCACGCGTCGATGTTATTCAACACCCCAGCCTTTTCTTTTTTCCCCTCTTCTCTCTTTCAATCTCTTTTTTGCCACCCTCCTCCTCTTCTTGTCCCTGTTGTTCTTTTGCGCAAGCCCATTGAAAATCCTCTACATCGTTACCAAACATTTCGTCGTGTGCCAATAGAATCACTCCTGCGTGCTTCTTTGAGCCCTTTTTTTCGGGCAAGTGCCTGTCCTGCTGCGACCATGTGCTCTTCAATCTCCAGCGAGCTCCTCTCATGCTCGCGTAGTGTGCTAAGGATCATCTGGCACTTGGCATCCACGTCCCTCGCAATGTTTGAGAGATATTGTCGCACCTTGTCATCTAGAGACCCGATGTTCGCTTGAAGGCCGTTAAGATCCGATCGGTGACGGTTGAGCTCGGCGTCCACGGCACGCGCACTTTCCTCAACGCTGCGAAAGTTCTTGTCGGTGCGCTCAGAAAGTTCCTCTAACATTTCACGTACTTTTTCCAAATTTCCAGAACCGTTTTTGTGCTCAAAATCACGAAAAAGATTTTCTAACTGTTGGATCTGTTCCGCCTGCTCACGCTCAACCGTCCTCACGGCCTCGCCAAACTGCCTGTTTTGCTTTTCAATCTCCCCCGCCGTGTCGTCCAGGTCTTGTTGAAGACGGTCTTGTCGGTCTTGCACGGTCCCTAGTCCCCTTCCCACACTCTGTATCTCACGACTTGCATCTTCAACGACACGTGCGGCTTCATCAGCCAGCTGCCGGGCTTCCTTGACGTCCCGCGCCACACTCTCCAGACCCTCGTCCAAATATTCAATCTGCTGACGCATCTTCCGGAGTGCGTCGGGGCCGAAATTGCCAAGAGCCTTCTCAAACTCCTTCTGACGCGTGTTCATGCTGCGCAGGTCATCTTCCATGTCGGAAAGACGAAGACTCATTTGGCGCTGGAATTGTGCTTGTTTCTGCTGCTCCTGAATAACCCTCTTCAGGACGTTGTGAAGGTGCGACCCGTCCATTTGAAAGCCCATCAATGGGAGGCTTTCCAAGAACTCAATTCCATCTTCCATGACTCACTCCTTTCTCTTCCCAGCCAGCACTTCCGCCAGAGTAGTGGTTGCCCGTCTTCCACGGCTTCAAAACTGTGAGCAACGCAAACAGCAGTCACAGCAGGAAAAGAAAAAGAAACACGCCCGATAACAGGAGAGAGCTCACATATACGCCCCACCCAAACAAAATAATTGGGGCGCAGTCGTCACCACGCGGCATGAAATAAAGAAAAAAACACAGACACACACACACTCTCAAAAAAGGGAAAAGAATCATAAAACCTCAAAGCGTCAAATGCGCAAATAAGTTGTACCGCAGTTATAAAACGCCCATAAGCCAACGCAACCATGAAGACATCTCCTCCCCGTCTCCCACTTGGGCTCAGGCCTCTTCATTTCCCCTTGCATTTCGTTACAATATGCAAACCCGCAGTCAAAAAATATGCATCAAAATGGAGGAAAAAAAAACAACAACAACAAAAAAACAAGTTTATACAAGCAAATAAAATAAAATAAAATAAAAACATGACAAGAGAGGAAATTCAACAAACTTCACACCTCACATTACTTTCGGTATCAAGACAACAACAAAAAGTAGGACCACGTTCAAAATGGTACTCCATCTACCTGGTGCATGGCGTATGTAGATACGTAATGGGTGATGCGTCCGCAGCACGGCTAACAACAGAGACATGTAATAAGTTTAACGCTCCCTCTCTAGTGACAGTATTTACAGGAGGGGAGTAAGGGCTCGAGGCATTTCTTTCCTCTGACGACAAAAGGGGGCGGTAATCGTTTTTACGGAAACGCCATTTTTCTGAGGAATTGCTTCCCTTGGCTCCGTTATTTTCACAATGTAAATAATCGCTCCCACTGAGTCCTTGCAAAATTCGAGAAGATGAGTAAATTAAAAAAGGCACGTAATTCTGTGCGGCGGATCCAGCAGAGTTATCCTTTGTCAAATCACCCACTAATGGAGAGGAGTTGTCATCCACGTGGTATCTTCTAGAAAAAGCCTCAATCCACCTAAATTTTACAGCAACACCGTGAAGTGGAAGTTGATCCACACTCACCACATCCGCCAACACCATCGATCCGCTCAGAAAAATGATATTTGGAAGACCATAAGCAAACTGCAAATGAGGATTATCTTCTTTGTAAATATACAACGACCCTTCCATTGGCTGTTGGCTTCGCAAATTCTTATCTTCGCCACCGTCTTCTCCATGCGCCACTGTTTTCTGGATTAAGCGGAATAGCCGATGCATCGGATACGTGTTTGCGTCCATTTCCCGTATGTGCAGTCGCATGGGATAAGGAGAGGGATTCGCACGGAGGCGCCACCGACATGGTGCTACGTCCACGACTCCCGTCACGATCACAGAGTTGGAGATGGAGATCTCGACAAGTTTTGCAGGGCTCAAATCCCTTTTATCATCGTCATCGGCACGGTAAGAGTGACAATTTGGACCGTGCTCTCCATCAGGCTCCGCTAAGAATTCCCCCAGCTGCCGTGATTGGGCGGGAGCCGCGTGATTTGGAAGTTTTGGCAGTGGAGAAAGGCCGCTCTTACCCAACAGCTCTTGACTGCCGCTCCAGTCATTTTTTCCTTGCGGTTCCTCTGCCTCTAGCAGTTTCTGTTCCTGTTGCTGCAGCTGCGATGGTGGTGTGAACGGCGATATTGGCGGCACGCGGAAGCGAGTCGAAAGCGGCGAGCGGCTGTCGCTACCATAGGCACGGTGCGCTGGCACTTTCGGTCCCGTCTCCCCATGACTTGTGGCACGTCGCGAGGGCAGACGCTTTGGTGGAGACGCCCCGCGCCCAGAATGCATGTATGGGGGACAGCGGGAGAAATGTTTACCCCCGCTGCCTCTAAGTCCCAAAGACGCGTTGTGTTCAAAAGACATCCCCCTTTCCTCTCCCAGAAATAAAACCGGGATAAGAGTTAGGGAGAAGAAAAGAAAAGGGGGGGAAGAGACGCATGCGTCGGACGATGAGGACACCAGGAGCCACCAAACAACTTCTCTCCCTCCCCCCTGCAACACACACACAGAGAAAATAAATTAAAAAGTAAAAAAAGGCGCCAACAAAACGCAACGGTTAAGGATGCATCATTTATGGTGTGATTTTTTCTTCAGGCCATCTCGCAGCACACCGTAGACTCTCAACAAGAGTGAAAAGACCAAAAATGCCGCTGCCACAAAGAGCCAGAACGACCTCGAGTTCCTGTTCAACGCAAAACCTTCCACGTCTCCTTCATCAACTGTTTTTTTGACTTGTTTCCTTCTCTGAATCATTGCCTGGGCTCTTGCCTTTCGTGCCTGCTGCACGCGTGATCCCACATTTGCTGTGGCCCCAAAACCCGAATAGTCTCCTGTGCTTCTTTCAGCATCATGATCTTCACCCTCATCCTCGCTTTCCCCCTCCCCTTCTTTGGCACGCTGTTCACGTTCTCTCTCCTCTTTCTCCCTCTGCTTTTCGCACTCCTCCTTGCAACGTCTATACGCCGCCTCATCAATAGCATGGACATTAATTAGGATCTGAGCAATTTCATCACATGCACTCTCTGCCAACATAAAAGTCACATGTACACCTTCCCTTGTGAGCACCTCACCAAGCCATTGCCGAATTTTTTGCACTCCATCAGCCCCATCCGCACATTGAAGAAACTCTACCATGACTTTCACGGCGTCCGCATTTTGCGAGGCGATGGCATGGTGAATAAGTGCAAATCCATTCTCAACGTCGTGGTGTAGAAACACCTCCTCCAGCTGCCCCTTTTCTCCCCTCTTTTGCATTGCATTCAGGAGCACCCGCAACACATTCGCCGCGGCAGCACCTGAGTGAGTCATAAGAAGAGTAGAAAAAGGGTTATGGCCCCATTTGTCCATCGCAGCTGGATTCGCACCGAGCTGCAGCAGACGTTCTGTTGCTCGAGTGATCACACCCTCGTTGAGATTTGGGCACGACAGGAGCAAATGTAGCGCCGTGCCCTCCGAGTCCGTCTTCATGTTGACGAGAGTCTCCACCTCGGCTGGTTGTGTGTTCGCCATCTTTGTCAAGAAATCCAAAAGATCCACCAAGACCCGATCCGACCCGCCGTTGATATCCGACACGGCGGTGTGCAACACTGTAAAGTGAGAAATGTCTTTCTTGCCAAGAAGCTCAAACGCTGACACAAGAACAGGAGAGCGATTCTCCAAGCAGAGAAGTCCCTCTTGTGAATCCTCCTTGAAATTGGTAGCGGCCTCCAGAACATACAAAAACAAAGCTGCAGCATTGAGTGAGGCAAGCACATGCAGCGGTGTTCGACCCTCAGCGTCAGTAACCAGAGGGCTTGCACCACAACGCAGTAACAGCGCCACCGCAATATCGTCTTCCCCCCAGCAGGCTGCGTGAAGGGCAGTGGAGCGTTCCGAGGAGCCATCTACGGCGTCCACATTGGCGCCAGCGCGTAGCAACAGGTGCAGCCCTTCCTCCTCCATCCTCTGGCTCACCGCATACGACAGCGGGAGCATCTTCTTCGCATTAGGACTGTTCACAAGTGAGCGGGCGACTTCTCGATTGACAGCCAATTTCACAGCGCCGGTTTCTTTGTCTTCGGTACGCACCAGCAGGACCTCTCCTAGACCCTCAACATCGCCCTTCTTCAAACAGTTCCAGAATTGCACCTCAAGAGCGGGCACGGGGGCTGCAGCCGCATGAGTATTTTTCGAATTCTTCTTCGTCATTTCCAACCGAAAGAGACGCGCACAAACACGCACACAAATAATAACACAAGTTTAAAGCCCACACTTCGCCCCTTTTTGCCACTCGGAAGCCAATACGGTGATCCCTTTGAGTATTCTTCTCACGCTCCCAACATAAGCCAAAAAGAAAAAAAAAAATGTATACAACCATTTGTGCATTACATTACACCGCCCACCGTCCAATTTTAAAAGGGGACAATACATTCGCCGGAACCACATCCCTGGCGCGCACAGCAAAGTGGAAACAAATATACCTTCACCTTCTATCCCCAGTGACACCCTGCCTCCATTCTTCACTATGAGGCTCACCAAACACCTACGCGGAGAGCAAAAAACAAAAACAAAAAACAAAAACAAAACAACACCAGCAGGAAAAAAATAAACCACTGTATGTCATTTTCAGAGACACTTTCGGGCGTATTTTTTTGTGCATTTGTTTTCAATTTTGACTCTCATGACCGCAATTCCCAACAACTAATCCGAATTTCCGTCGGTTTGCTGGAACGGTGGGGCGGGCTTGCTTTTTTCCATCTCGCGTGCATCCTCGTCACGGTTGCCGTCCAGTCCACGCACGTCAAGGCCCTTCCGTTCAAGCAACGCCGCGCTTTCTTCGCGCAGCTGCTGGAACAGTTCTTCCGCCCGAGCTTGCAGCGCCCCATCGTCGGGATTCTGCGCGAATTCGTCCAACACATCCTGTAGTCGCTTTTTATTCTGCGAGTTCCAACTAGAAAGGGGCACCATGCCGCTCCCACGTTCCAGCGGCTTTGCCTGCGTCGGACTGGGGCTCCACGCGATGGTGTGGAACACTTCAAACGTCGCCGGAATAAGCTCATTTTTCCGATACATGACGTCGTATGCGGCGCACGCCGCAAGAAGAACGTCGCGGTTCAGCGGCCGGCGCATGTAGTGACAAGCACTTTCTCCCATTGTTGAGAGGTGCTCCATTAGGTTAAATGGCGTTTGGTAGAGCAGCAGGTGACGGTCCACATCGATACTTGGGAGATTAAAACCCGCCTGCAACACAAGCGTTGACAAGCCAGCGCCATCAATCATGGGCGAAATGTGCGGCGAGACCCCGCCCAGCACTTCCGTCTGCGCCATGGAGAAACACCCGCGGAGCTCATATAGCGTATTGCCACCAAACATGGAATGTAGCATAAAGGCATCCTTTTTCAAAACTCTGCGAATGTTCACCATGGCTGTCTCAAGGTCGTTTACCCAGTGCATGGAGAGACACGACACCACCATATCCACAGTCCTCTCAGGAACACCGAAAGGATCCGGCTCCTCCTCGTCACAACATATCTGTACAAACTCCACATCAGGTGGAATCATGTGCTTCACCTCCTCATAGTTGCGATTCAGTCGCTCCTCACACACGTCCGTCTGAATGTATTGCTTAAGCCCAAAGAGCTGCTTTTTCTCAAGCATTTGGCGAAAGAACCATCCTGTGTGCGCTCCAACTTCCAAAACCACTGGGGTATCGCGCTTTACAAAGGCGCGGCGGTCCAGCATCTGCTCCGCACAAAGTTTGTGCAAATCACACGCCGGAGCGTCCACAAGGCATCGCTGAAGACCCTTCAATTGACGATCAAACATTTTAATGTTAAGGGCACGCGCCGGCGCAGACCGCGTGAGCACCACGGGAGAAGGCATCGCGTCACCCCCCCACACTGAGAAACTTGCTGCTAAATTTTGCAAAACGGGAAGACGGTGATGGAAAGGGAAAGACACACACCAGTTATTTCTAGGGTAGGGGGATCCATTTGAAGGCAAAAAAAAAAAAAGAAAAAAAACAGCAGAACTCAGCCACCGTAGATGCAAAATGGAGGCACACAGCTGTGTATGTAAATGTGTACATAATTCCATTTTTTGTTTTTTTTGCAGCCGGATTATTTTTCCTCAAAAAAAAAAAAAAAAAAAAGCTCAAAAATAATTAAAAAAACATTAACATAGAATTAGCAGGTTCGAGGCAAACGTTGTGGGTCTAACCCACTTCATACCCGTCCTGTTCCCCTTTGTCGCATCTTTTTTTTGTCCATGCCTTTTCCTCCCAAACTTATTTATTCTACCCTTCCCTACCGTCACAATTTCACTTCCTTGTTACCTTAATCCCCATAATTTTCACTTCTTTGGAGTCTTTTCCTCAATTTTGCCTGGTCCTCATTTAGACAGGATCCATTCGTCATTTATGGTAAAAACACAAATAAAAACAGACGAGTGTTTCTACAACTTTGACCGCGCAAACGTCTCACCCTTCGCAATATTCTTTTTCACCACGCCGACGGCCTCTTCAAGCATCTCCTTCTCGACTGTTGTGATGGGGCCAATAGGAAGGCGCCTCTCAATGCCATTCTTTCCCAGAACCACCGGCATTGCGAGAAATGGGCATTCGTGTTCGCCGTCTGTGTCAACATACGCGTACACCATGGGCGTGTCCAGACCCATAAGCGCCTTCACGACATGCATGGTAAAGCGGGCGCCTGCTTCCGCCATGGAGAGCGTCGCACTGCCGCGACCCGCCTTTGCTTTCACCACCTCCGTCCCCGCCACCTGCACACGTTTGCGGATCTCTTTCAGGGTAGATTCATCAGGCAGAGGGCCAGGAATCTGCGAATACAGGGGCACGATGGTGACATCGCTGTGCCCGCCGACAACTGGGACGTACGGAACGACAAGTGGGTGTCGAGCATTGTTGATAAAACGTGTGGCTCGCAGTCCATCGAGCAGGCTCACACCAAGCAGTTTGTTTTTGTTGTACACACCAATCTTCCTCAGTGTCTGGGCTGCAATGGGCGTCGTGCTGTTCACAGGGTTCGTAACAATACAGAAGCAGGCATTGGGCGATACGGAGGCGCATGTCAAGACAAGGTCCATGACAATGCCGGCGTTCACGTTGAAAAGGTCGTCGCGCGTCATACCGGGCTTGCGCGGCACACCAGCCACAATGACAAAAACATCAACTCCCTCGGCCAGCTCAGTCAGTGCGGGGTCGCGGGGTACGGGGGGCAGCTTTCCTGCGGCGTGCTTCACAGTAATTCCGGCACGGTCGATGTGGGACAGGTCAGCGGCAACCCCAGGTGCCCCTACCACGTCATACAGTGACAGGGTGCTGCCAAACGGCAGCTCCCGAAGAAGCAGCAGGGAGAGGGATTGGCCGATGCCTCCAGCGGCACCAATAACAGCGACATTCACCATAATTGCAAATATTTGATTTTAGAATATCGAAAAATTAAAACCAATTCTCTAAATTTATTTTAAAAACAAAGTAAAAAGAATTTAAAAAGAAAAAAATATGTTTAGTTTAATAAATGCACAAATTCATATCTGTGCAAAGAAAATTGAGGAAAGGGAACCGAAGCCACGCAATTGAAAAAAACGAGAAGTCAATACAATTATGAACAATAATCCACTCGAGGTGTCATCTAAGCATGCGTCAGGTGAGATTCTACAATGAGAAAAAACACCAATCAACCACGTGGGGAAGGAACATCAGCACAGACAGTTACCGGTGAGTGGGAGTGCATTCGCAATATCTACCAAAGTAATCAAAACAACAACAACAAAAAAGGTACAACAAAAGCCAAATACAAATTGAATAGGTTTACCGCCGTGATATTAGTTTAAAAACAAACGACGTATCCATCCCTCTAGTTGCTTTGGGTTTTACAGACCAAACAAAAACATCTCACCTCTGAGAGTTTTCCATAGTCCACAGAAAATCATCTGCTCTTTTTGGTTTCTTGCTGAACCGCGGCACCTGGTTCACTCTTGTCGCAGGGCTGGCAGCCAGGGATGAATGGGACGCGTCAATTGGCACCGGAGACCGTCTAGCCGTTGGCGGGGGCGTGTGTAATGGCGGAAGCGCCTCCCGCTCATATTCGTTGTCATCATTTGCTGAAATCTCCATTATACGCGTGCCCTTCATGGCTGCATCATTCCCCCCCGTCCCTGAAAGATGAAAAAAGGAAGAGAAATAACCACCCAGTCTCGTATTGGCGTGGCGAAATGTCGCTGCGTTGGCCTTTTCATTCCCGCCGTACATGCCGGCGTGCGGCCCATCTGTGTGGCGCTGTGTGTCCTGTTTTGCGTTACGGAGCGATATCTCTTCCTCCAACTGGTCCAGGCTGGCCTGGAACTCCAGGTTCTCACGAAGGTTGCTCAATTTGACCTTCAGCTCCGCATTTTCCTTCTGCAAGGCACATATCTCTTGATAGAAATGCTCCTCCAGCGCCGTGATCGTCACCTCATATTCGCGCCGCAGGGTTTCCGTGGCGATACCCACACTCAGTGTCTGACGCACATCCTCCACTGAGGCACGATGCACCGCAAACTCCTCGTAAGCACACTGTTTGTACTGTACCAAAAATATCATCATCGTCATCACAGGGTTTGAAATTGGCGGCAACTTGCGTTCCATGGGGGAATCCATCTCAAAAAGCAATGCTTTTGTCGCCACATTCGCCTCATGCGTAATTACACCAATCTCCTTGGCACACAAAAGCAAAGAGTCACCAAAGGCGTGGAGCATAGTTGACTCACCTGCTTCCCACACAACGAGGATCTCCCGCAGCTTCTCCTCCAAACGCAAACAGTCAAACACATGCTTCTCCCGCCACTCCCCCATGCGGCGCCGTGTTGCGACACCCACCGATGACAGCACCTCACAAGCCGCCTGCACCCATGCAGCATGCTCCGCTGTGCAGTGCGCCGCAAACGCCGCGTGGCTCCCAACCAACTCCCGATGCAATTCTTCGCAGTGGAGAGATCGCATCGTCATCTGACGGAGTGCAACAGCCATCTCCACGCGGGCTGCTTCCTCTTGCTGCGCAATGGACTGTCTCTCAGCCGCGTGTTCCGCAAAAAGCATGCAGCTCTTCCGGATAAAGAAAGACAACTGCTCCGAATGGGCAGTACGCAACGCCGCAGCCTCTTTCTTTTCATCCTCTCGCTGCTGCTGCAGTACAGCCCTGGAAATGTTAACCTCTCTCCTCAGTTTAGTTACTGTGAGCTCGTGCTCCTGTTGAAGACTGCTAAGCTTCTCCCCATGGCTCCGCTGCGTCTCTGCCGCGCGCCGAACCATATTCGCCACAAGCGCTGAGTGCTCGGCCTTAAGACTTTCCATAGCGTTGCTGACAATGCTCCATTTCCCATCAATGTGTTCGTTGTAGTGTGAACTGTTTGCTTCCAATAACCTTTGCATAGCTTGTAAGAGTTGAATACTCTGTGTTAAATTTTTATGAGCCTCATCCCTTGTGTTTTTTGTGGTATTTATTATTCCCTGCAATTCCTTTTCCTTCTCATTATATGTTAGTTGAAGTTGCCGCTGCGTTTCATATGCCTCATCATCTTTCTTCTGGAGAAGAAGTTGCATCAGTTTAAGTTCACTCTGGTGTTGTTCTTTTTCCATGCACATTTCTTGAAGATGTTGATGCTTCATTGCGTTTATTTCCGCTTGCAGATCTCTCACCGTACCGGCTGTTTCTTCCAGCTGATTAAACAGTTGTTGAACGTGAGTCTCGTAGTTATTATGTATCTTCTCAAGAAGCATATTAAATTTATCCTCGTTAAATTTTAACGCTCCATTCAAGTGCTGTTCCACTGTTTCCAAATATTGTCTCGTCTGACAATTCCATGTTTCCATCTCTAGACGTTTGGCCGCTTGTTGTGCACGCATCTCAACCTCATGGAGTTCTTTGACACGCCTAACTTCTTCTTCCTTCTGTTGCAGCTTCTCGTTGAAATGCACGATTTCCTCTTCAAGAAGAGAGCGGGCATCTCCTATCCGAGTTTCTGCGTCATGTTCAACACGCGCAATTTTATCCCATAATTTACTGTGACTCTTGTGGAGTGTCGCAGCGTAACGCTCGGAGAAGTCTGTCAGCAGATGCAATTTTTCATGAAAGAGGGCAAGCCGCAATTCAGATTGGGCAGTGAGTGCGGATGCCATATGAGCTGCGAATTCCACGAGGTCCCGTTCCTGCTTCGAGATGCCGTTGCGCAGGAGATCCATATTTTCTTGCAGTGAACGGGCGTGAGCGGCTGCTTTTGCCACGGCGTTCTTGTGTTCCTCTCGCATCTCGTCCATCTTCCCGTCCAAGAGACGTCGTTCATGATGAAGTCGTGATGCATGGCGGCTGTCAACAAGGCTGCAGCGCTCATCCGCTTCCTCGGTGAAAAGACAACGATACGCCTCAAACCCTTCTTCCATTAGCAAAGCCAAAGCTTCAAAAATCCCAGTGTAATTTCTTTGCAGGAGTTCCGCGTTATTTTTCGCCTGCAGCAGCGTTGCTTCCGTTGCTGTGAGTTTCTCATTCAGATCCTTTTCCCTCGTTTGCAGCCATTGCGTCTCCTTCTTTTGCTTCTCGCAGCTCCTCCACAGGCCGTCTCGCTCAGTGGCGAGTCTTTCCAATTGTTGCTGGAGGCAGTCTCGTTGCCTTTCCGAGTTTGCCGCGCGTTCCTTCTCAATGCGTAGTTGCTCCTTCATTCCATTTACGGTCGCGTACGCATTTGACAGTTCCCTCAAATTCTGCCTCGTTTGCCCCTTGTCTTGCATGCCTCTCGGCATCACCAACGGCATGGATGACTCCTTTATCTTTTCCTCTTGCATCTTTTCGCTTTTTGCACATGCCCGCTCAAACGATGCAAGAAGTTTATTTCCAATGGCGGTGAGCACCTCCCATTCTTTGCGCTCCAGCTGTTTCAGGTTCTCCCGCAAAGACCAGCTGTGGGAATCGATCAAAATTGTGTTCTTCTGAAGCATGGCATCGTACTTCTCTGTGGCATCCGCGGCGCAGCGTGTGATGGCATCCACAAGGCTTGCGTAGTTGCCGTTTTCACTGTCAATTCCAAGGCGCTTTAAGGTTTGCAATGTGTCGTTCCCAAGTTGAAGCTCTAAGTCACTCCTCTTTGATCCCGCCGCAGCCTTCGTCGGCGATTTGTCGGGGTGAATAATCAAGCGGGATGCTACTTGCTCTTGTTTTTCCTTTTCCAGTGCCGCCAGCTGGGCACGGAGACGTTCTTTTTCTTCGGTTGCCTCCTGCAACTCATTCTGTAGCCGTAGCACCGTCAACTTGGCGCGCCGAAGGTCTTTTGCCTCGTGCTGCAGCCGGCTGTTTTCATCCGCAAGTTTTTTCATCTCTGCGACATTCTTTTCCAGCAGTTGAGAGCGAAGCTCATCAATTGTGAAGTCGCGGTCTGCAACGTCCTGCTCCAGTTGCAAGACACGATCCTGAAGTTGTTCCACTTCTTCATTGCTGTGTCCAACCTGCGGCCGTTCACGTAATAGACGCTGAAGCCGTGAAACCTCCGCCGTCAGGGCCTTTATCTGCCGCACCTGTGGGTCCTCGTTGATGATGGCCCTGGTGACAATTTGCTTCGCGCGTGACGCATAACGCAGGGTTTGACACGTCTCCTGATAGTGCGTGGCACTTGGTGAGATGGTGGCCACCATCGACGTCTTGCTGTTTCCCCCAAGCGAGTCCATTAGAAGCCATGTGAGGTTGGAGTCACGGTAGGGGCAAAAAACACCTTGCTTACCGGAGGAAAGGTCTGCAAGGGCATCAATGACTCTTCCTAGTGCGGTGAGAGAAAGGTTTATCTTCGTTGCCTCCTTGAACAGCTTTCCCTCCACCCCACTCGCACCTGTGCGCTCGGATCCTGCGAGATCCACAAGGTTCAACTTGCTGCTCACACGGCTACTGTTGTCATCCTCATCCAGTGTCATTTGCGCAATGTGGAGAGAAACTATAGCATGACTTCGACTACTGCGGTCATTCACCTTTGTGCAGGCCGTGTGGCGTTCTGCACTTCCTCGCCGGATCCACTGCAGGAGTTCTTTTTCTTCCACCACATGTTTCCGCACGAGCCCCTCTACATAAGCGCCACATGTTGGTTGATGGCGCAGATGCAGTTCTGTTTTAGTACCGTTAGATTCTCCGGCCATCAGATCAAAGACCTTCTCATTATAAATTTCATAATACTCAAATTCCACACGAAATGAGTGTGAACCATTCAGTTTGTGCTTGAGACGTAGAGAATTAAAAATATCACGTGCCAGACGAGGGATAAGACCCTCCATGCTTAGGGTGTTAGTATCTGCGACGCATGTCATGTCACTGCCACCTTGCGTTTCAGAAATCATCATGGACTTTTCAGGCCTCGAAGGAGTTTTGCACGGGCTCCATTTGTTTTTAGCAGCAGGTGGCGTTCTCGCCATGACCGAGGCTTCTCTTCCCTCGTACTGGGCTTCACATGCTGCCAACAATGGTGGTCCAATCATGGTGTGTGTCTTTCCGCTCCCGGTTTGACCGTAGGCAAATATACAGCCATTATACCCGTCAATCACATTGCGTAGTACAAAAAGGCCCACGCGTTGGTACACAAACTCCTGGTCGCCTCCTTCTACGGCAGCCGTGGAGTCAAAGCAGTGCTCAAACGCGTACGTCAGGCGCGGTTCGTAATTATTGGATGGGTCCAAAATTGTGATTTGGCCTCCATCAGGCGCGAGTTTCACTGTCGTCGGCGGATGCCCCCCGCTCTCCTGCAGCTCACGCTCGCTGAATGGACGAATGCGCACATACACCCGAGTAGCAGAGAAAAGGGACTTTTGACCGTGTTTCGTTAGATCGCTGCCCGTTGATAGCGTATCCAGTGGCCGTGGTGATCCGTCCGTTGGAGTATTGCCGCAGGGCGTCATGACCGCAACCACCAAACAAAACCCACTCTTTTCTTTTCTTTGCCTTTTTTTTTTTTCTTTTTCTTCCCTTTCACTCACACCTCCTCCTTTCTTCACACAAACAAATACAGTACAAAAGTATCGCTCCTGACGGTTTTATTATCACGGACGTGGAGTTCCCACGTTTGGCGAGCGCCGTGCGTTTGGATCTGCAAACCTACCAATGCGTCCTTTGGGCAAAACAGAGAAACAACGACCAGAGAAGAAGAGAGACAAGTAACACACGTGTTGTGGGTTGGTGGGTTGAAAATCCCTGAGGTCTGCAACAGGGAACAAAGAGGGTGGGGGAAAGGCAGCAGCAAAAGAAGAAATATGCAAAGAAAGACAACAATATGCGGCGCAGCCGAATGGAAAAAAAAAAAAAAATGACACAAAGCATCAACGTCATAAAATAACCAATAAATCTCTGCGTCGTGTCTTTTAGGTATACGTGCGCCATAATTATACATGTGTATGTGTGTCTATGTGTGGTGGGTGTTCCTGCTTGGAACGATATTCAGCAGAACAAAAAATGAAGAACCCCGCACTGACGAGGAAGTGATCTTCCCTCGCTCCAAACGCACCCCGCCACACGCTCCTCCCTTCCCCCCCTTCCCCCTCCGCGCAGCACAATACATTTGGGGATGCACACACACAGACAGACACACACGCGGCCCATGCTGGTATGCATGTATGCATGCAAGAAAAAACAAAAAAAAAAACAAACGAACGTACTCTTCTTTTCTACAGACTTGTCATTTTCGCTTCCGCCCACAAAAATCTCATACGACACCCACAAACACAAACACAAACTCACACACACACACACACACGTGGGACCAACACCACCATCACCAACAGCCAAAATAAAATAAAACGCATGACCAAAGTAAGTTTACAAACAACAACGACAACGACAACAAAGCGGAAGCAACCAACCAACAAAATTCAACGATGAAATTGCCAGAAAAAAAAAAAAAATAACAACAACAACAACAGACGTAACAAAAACCAAAAAAATGGCCCAAAATCGTTTCTTCCCTCATGTTTATGCGGACACCTGCGCTTCACTCGTCTACCGCTTGCTTCCTTCGTCGTGTTCTCCCGGTCTATCGTCCTTTGTAAACCCGGCAGGGAACACCTGCAGCTCCCTGCGTTTCCTCCAAAAGGCTTCGCAAAGGCCGTTTGGCGGGAATTAAGTACAAGCAGCAAAAAAAAAAAAAAAAAAAAAAAAAAAAAAAAGAAAAGAAAAAAGAAAACAGCATCACGGCACACATTCCACGCACAATTTTTTCCTCTCCAGGGAAGCCACACATACAAAAACATGTGTACATCACACATTTTTCCACCTTAACTTCCCCTTTTCACCCCCCTCTTCCTTCGTGTGTGCAAACAGCAGCCTCAGTCCAGCAAAACGCACGTTTTTTCTTAAACGAGACTTCGTTAAACGCTGTATTCGGCTTTCCTCTATTCACACGTCCCCTCCGTATATTATATTATATATTATATATTTATATAATGGCTTTCCTCTTTCATTGGAGAGAAAAAAGAAGGAAACGTTTTTTTTTCTTTTCTTTTCGAGAGTCCTCAACGTCTTTCTATTTTTATTTCTATTTATTTTTTATTATTATTTTATTTTATTTTATTTATATATATTGGGGGGAGGGGGTGGGAGGTAAAGCGTCAATAAATATCGGATAAATTATACCGCACCACAGTGACACATGTAATTATACACCCATATAAATATATATGTATTTCATTAAGTGTTTCTGTTTTATTGTGATCGGTACAATAGGGCCAGATAAGATTACGAATAGTAAATACAACACTGCATATCAATATATATATATAAGAAGGGAAAAGAAAAAGTGATTTAAAGATAGCGTTTGCCATCACATCAACATCCGTCGAAAGAGGAATTGGCGTTGTCAGCTCTACTCGTCTCCTGCCCATGGATGAGTCTCACTCCCTTTCCTTCCCTTCGTCATATTCCCGCCCCATTTTTTTTTTTCTCGCTTACTCATCTCCCCTACCTTTTATGAATGTTCTCATCGTTTGACTGTCTTTGGCCGCTCTTCTCCGCATCGTGATTGCGCACCCTCGCACCCCTCAGATTGTCACTGGCGCGCAGGCACCAAGACACATGCGGCGGGAGAAGCGCATATTTACCCCCCCTCTGCACAGAAACTCCACGTGATGAAAGATTGAGGCAATCACAGTAACAACGAGTGCAGAGGAGATGGAAGGCAAAGCACGAAGAATGGCGGGGGAAAAACTACACCCGCCCTTGCCAAAGGCAGCGGTGCCTTCGTCTCCGACTCACTTCTCCATATCATTTCCTCGAACCCTCCACCAACTCTCCACATTTCAACTCTCTTCTCCTCTTCTTTTTTTTTTTTTTCGTCTTCTTTTTGCACCGAACTGCACGGGCTTTTCCCTCCGGCTCCTCCCCCGCCGGTGCCAGAGGCCCGCATCATCGCCTTGCAATTTGTTTTCTTCTCCCCCCCCCCCCCCCCCCCTCCGGCATCCCCCACGCGGCCGGGAAAAAAAAAAAAAAATTAATAATTAAATAAAACACCGTAAAACAACAAAAAACGGCTGCCAACAATGCCAGTGAAATGATAACAATAATGGCGGCGACAGCGACAGCGGTGATATGTGTCGCTGCGGACGGGGCAAATCCAAAAAAAAGGAGAGAAAACAAACAAAAAACGACGACAGAACCAAAGAAACATAAAAATAGATGTACGCACACAGAAAAGAAACAATAAAGAAATGGGAATACCATTTTCGCTGATGTAAGACGGTTTGTTTTCAAGAACAACAATGAAAGAAGCAACAAAAAGAAAAACAACAACAACAACCAAACAAACAAACCAAACAAACCCACCTACCGTAAATAGGCAAGAATAAAATAATAAAAAACAACAACAAAAGGACAAATGTTAATTTTGTCAATTCCACATGATAATGATGATTTTTCTTTTTTTTGGTTTTCATCCATTTCACCCCTCACTTTTCATTCACGCCCTTGTTATTTATTTCTCTCTTTGTTTATTCCATATATATATATATTTACGTGTCCTCACATGCTTTCTACCAGTCCATCTCCCCTCTACCTGCAAATATAACGAAGAGTCGGGAGCAAAAAAAAAAAAAAAATGGTGGGAAATAACCGTACAAATAAGGGATGGATGCGCATTCCACCATTTTCTATTTTTCTAAATACATATAAATATAAATATATTTATTTTCACATCATTCAGGGAATGATTTTTCTTGTTGAGGACTATTTTGACGTTCCACCCCGTGCCTTAACGGACGGTTCTTTTTTCTCTGCACGTGCAGGGGGAACAGAAGTGGGCGACTTGTTGGCCCCGCTTTTGCCGTTGCCGTCAGTATTTTTCGTACCAGCATTAGTATTGCTGTCACCATTTCCGTTTTCGTGACTGTCTTTATTGCTGCTATTGCCACTGTGGCGTGCCTTGTTGGAACGGGCAAGATGCTTCATAATGTCCTCCTCAAAACGCTGGATGCTTGCCTTGCTGTCTTCTTGGTTCTGTCTCAGCTGTTGCACAATCTCTCGGAGTCGCTGTGTGTCGCGCCGCTTTCGCTCCTCCACGGCCTCAAGCTCTGCCGTGTAGTCCTTCCGCTCAAGCGTTGCGTCGCGAAGACGGGCTCGGAAGTTCAGGTAGTCCTGAGTCTGCAGCAGGGCTCGCAGCTGAGTGAAAGAGGCATCCATCGCCGAGGAACGGTTATCCCAGTCGGAAAGCAGACCGTTACTGACATGAACGAGACGTTCCTGCTGCTGCGAAAGATTTTGAAGCTCCGTGTGGTGCTGTTGCTCCATGCGATTTCGCTCTGTCTGTGCTTTAAGCAACTCCCGCCGCAACTCATTCACTTCACGCTCCAAAGAACGCCGTTGACGCTCCTTCTCAAGCATGTCACTTTCGTGCCGCAGTTTTTCATTGTCAACTTGTTTCTTTAGCCGAGAAATCTCCTGCTCCTTGTCCTGACGGTAGCGGTCCATTTCTTCCTGTCGACGGTTCATCTCCTTCTCATGCTCTTCCTGTAAACGTTTGACGGCTTCTCCTGAGCGTTGACGATCCGACGCGCCGGAACTCAACTGTTCACGTAACTTTCGTGTTTCCTTTTGGTGTTGGGTACGCGCCCTGTCCAGCTGCTCTTCGTATCTCACACGCGTCTTTTCATTCTCCTCCCCAAGTCGCTTCAGTTCTGCCTCGTAAAACTCCTTGTTCTTCGTCATCCGTTCCTCCACGTAGTTCAACTTGTCTACGTGCTTGTCAATGAGTTGCTGGTACAATTCATTGCTCTTCTCAATGGACTCCTTCAGTCGAGCAGAGGATAATTTATGTAACTCCTCCATTTCTTCCACGTGACGTTTGCGCATCTGCTCCATTTCCTCACGATGAGCTTTATTAAGGCGGCGAATACCATCGCCCACCTCACCGTTTTGGGAAATGAAGAGATGCGCCACCTGTCTCACAAACTCCTCCTCTTTCTGCAGCATTATCCTGTGCAAAATATCCGACGCCATGTCCACATAAAAGAAGGAATACCGCTGCATGTACTGTTCCTTCTTCGCATCGTATTTCCGCATTTTGTCTACCTCCCTCTTCAGATTTTGCACACGGATATTCAGCTCCGCAACTTGTTCGGTGCTGTTGGAGGCATCGGGTCGTTTATTTCTTTCCTCCTCGGCAATTTGGCGACGAAGCACTTCATTCTCTGTTTTGGCTTCGACAAGCCGCGCCTTGAGGAGCGTTGGGTTTTTCTCTTCCTCAACAGAGTCCCGGCGCTGTCGTGCACTCGTTTCCGGCAAGTGACCAGGGCGTGCTCGTCTAGCAGAAATTGCACGTGAATCTTCCGTCCGATTATTCATTACACGTCCTTCTAATTCAGCCTGAAGCTCCACAATGAGCATCTCCTGTTCCTGACAGCGTTTCTCCAAAAAGTTATTACGACGCTGCAATTCCAAAACGTAGTCACGGCTAAATTCGTTATGCCCGGCATCGCGAATAACTTTCTTGAGGCGATCTAATTCGGCTGTCAAAAGGCGGATTTGACGCACCTGTGGATCCTCATTAATAACTGCTTTATTCACAATTTGCCTTGCACGTGACGCGTAGCGTATAGTCTGTCGCATCTCATCGAAGTTTACACTGTGGGGGGAGATGGTGGCCAACATCGACGTCTTGCTGTTTCCCCCAAGCGAGTCCATTAGAAGCCACGTGAGGTTGGAGTCACGATATGGCACGGGCACGGAAAGTGACTTGGACTGCGCGAGATCGGCCAGGCAGTCGATGACTCGGCCCAAGGTGGTGAGAGAAAGATTAATTTTGGTCCCTTCCAGAAACTGTTTTCCCTCCGCCCCAACAGCACCTGTGCGCTCCGAGCCTGCAAGATCGACAAGATTCAACTTACTCTGTTTCTTGCAAGTGTTATCGCTCTTGTCAAGGATTAGCTGCATGATATTCAATGTAATAATGGCGTGGCTGCGACTGCTGCGGTCATTGACTTTTGTGGCTGCGGTGTGTCTCTCAACGCTCCCCTTGCGAATTACTCTCGCAACTTCTTCCTCGTTGGCAACCACTTTGGAAGTGAGTCCCTCCACGTACGGTCCACTGACGGGGTTGTGGCGAATCCTTAAATCGGCATCTTTTTGGGGACGAATTAAATCATACACCTTTTCATTGTAAATCTCATAGTACTCCACCTCGACGCGGTAGGAGTGTGAGGGGTCCGTATCCCGCTTTTCGCGCAATCCACTAAAAAGGTCGGCACTGATGCGGGGAATAATTCCTTGCAGTTCATTAGGGTCCATTCCTGTATGGTCGACAATGTCTACCGCCGGGCGATCCATATTTCCTTGTGTACCCAATTGCGGGGCAAAACCATCCTTTAGACTGTTCTGACTGCTCAGTAGAGATGCACGGCTAAAACGTGCGGGTGAGGTAAAACTAATAGACGGCTTAGAGACTTCGCAATCATCTTCTTCATAATCTTCAAACGCCACATGCTGGTGCTTAAAGGCCGAATGAAAATCAGTACTCTTTGGGGCATAACCAAACATGGAAAAAGTTTTCCCACTGCCAGTCTGTCCGTACGCAAAGACACACCCATTGTACCCTTCCAAGGTGTTCTCTAATATGGGGCGTCCAACCTCATTGTAAATATCCTGCTGAGAGCTGTAGGGTGGATGGGTAACCACCGACCCCGCAACAATCGCCGCATTTGATCCTGCACCCTCAAACGAGACTGAATTCTCAGCAGCCGCTCGCCCACGCGCAGATAAAACGCTGGTGTTGGAGAGGCTTGTATTCAAGCATCGGCTCCGATTGCCTCGTGCGGAGGATGCATTGTTGTTGATAAACATATCAATCGATCCACGGATTTCCCCAGCAGTCCTTCCACGGCACATATCATTGCTACCCTGCTCCAAAACAGACCAGAAACAACGAGTAAAACTAAATGTTTCGCGAGGCCGAAAATCCTTCTGAGGATCCAACAACGTAATCAGGCATGGGTTTTCCACATCAATACGTACCGTGCTGTGATGTGGCATGCTCAACGACAACTCCCGTTCACTAAATGGTCTTACACGCACATACACCCTCATAGCATTTCCTTGCCCCTGTGAAAGTTCCACTATCGAGCGGTGATGCGTGGTGGTAATAGATCTGGATGAATGTACCCGTCGAAAGTCATTCTCCCGCCTTCTCGGTGTGGACGCCGGACGCGCAGAGTTCAAAGGGGATCCTGCGGGGGAATAGCTTTGCATAACTTTGGGTCCTTTTTTTTTTTTTCTTTTTTAACGTCTTCTCTCCAGCCCGTGCCTTTTTTATTGTTTCCTTTCAGCTTCTTTGCGTGTGTATAAATATTGAGGGAGATAGTCTCAGTTTTCTTCCTCCTTCGACGACACCTCTACTCTTTTTCCTGCGCTGCAAGAAATTCCTGTAGGAAAACACAAGAAAAGGAGCGTAACAAAATGTAATGTGAGCGCACCACTCGGCAATCAAAACTACATGACCGCGTACCTGCGGAAGAGACATGTCGTCTTTGTTTTTCTTCAAGAACTGATGCCTTTTATTTTTATTTTCTTTTTTGTTGTTTAAAATATTTCCTTTCAAAAGAGAAGCTCCACGCACATGTTATGTACCCTGCGCTCTTTTATTATGGTTGCAGGGGAACAAAAACATTAATCGTCTGTGAAGGCATGGATGATCTCTCCTCTTCTTTTTTTTTTTTTTTTTTTTTTTTAAGTGGCAAATGTGAGCTTTTCTTTTCTGCAGGATTTCTCACAACAGGCATGGGAGTTCCGGCATTCAATCACTCACTCCACCTTCACACTCAGCGAGCGCGACGTGCGGCTTTTGGTTTGAAGCGGGACTCACGCTTTTGCTCCAGGCTTTTCCGCAGACCCTCATTCTGCCGCTTGATCGTCTTTGCCAAGGCGTGAAGGCTCCTGCTACGTTCCACGCGTTGTTGAATCTCCTTCAGGTTCCTTGCCGCTAGCGCCGCCTCCTGCTGCTCCTTCTCTCGCCTCTGCTGCAAGATGAGCTCCACATCGTCTCGTGGCTCTTCCTCATCCCCATCACCACCACCACCACTTGCCGCGGCGGATGTCGCCGCCTCCTCTACCAGGGAAGAAAAGCGGTACTTCTTCATGTCCTTTTTGGCACGAAGGCGCTTCACAAGAGCTTCACGTTCCTCTGCGGTTTTAAGACCACTTTTTCGGAGTTTTTCCTGCATTTCCCGACGCTCACGGCGCCGCTGGGACGATGAAAGCATTCGTGGACCCGTCAACAGCACCTCCTCCGGCAAAACAGTGCTTTGAAGGATCGAGATTGTCCCTCGAACAGCAGGATGCTGCTTAAGCATCTCTGGGGTTGCGTCAAAGTACTTAACGGGATTAAAGCGACGGAATTCCTCGTCATTCTCCACAAAAACAATGTGCTTATTCTTTGGTGGTGCGGAGGTGATGGCTATCGATGCATCCTCATTGAGGAGCTCCTTCGCGCGGTGAAGATCTGCCTGTGCCTTGTATTGGAGGTACTGAACATTGCGTGTATTCTGCTCTAGCACTTTTTGTGTCTTTTTCTGATTTCCTTCCTTTGATCCCGCACGTTGTTTCATCTTCCCTGATGCGATATCTAAGACAGCCTTTGTCATGCCAATATGGAACTCGTCGGGGTTACGTTGTGCCGCAGCGCGCTTCAATTGTAGGAGTTTCTGCATCTTTGCTTTGCGACGCCTAGAGCGTACGACATGGTCTTTTTGTTTCTCTAGCTGTCCTAAATGTTTGCGGGAGGCCGGCTGCGAGCGTTCCTTGTGGATCGTCCGCTTGATGTGCTTGTCCAAGTTACCCACACCTGGGTTGCGTCCCTTTCCCCGCGTCATTTTTCTTTTTTTTGGCCTCTTTCCTCCCCTGCCGTACGTGTGGTTTCGCCTCTCCTAAATACCCACCGCTAGGGCTGCCCGTGCCAAAGTTACAGGGTAAATTACTGCTTGTATGATAGGAACTGCCACGATGACTGAAAGGATGCGTATTGAACAGCAGCAGAAGCAGCAGGTCAGTGACAAAAGTAAAAAAATCAACAAAAACAACAACAACAACAACAACAAGGGAGGATGATTTAGGGAGATTTTCAGAGCACATTACTCCCCGCCAAAACTGCACAACATTATAGAGAGACACGTAGAGAAGGAAATGCACATACATGCATAAAAGTTCCAAACAAACGCGTGCGTGTGTATTTGTAAAAAGAGAGAGAGAGATACAAGATAGAGAGAAACGTGTGCATCATGTCTGATTAATATTTTATACGAGTGAGTCCGCATAACACAGAAAGAAAAAGAGAAAAAGAAAGAAATGTGTAAAAAAAAAAGCACGGAAAAAGTAACGGACGATTGTCGGATAAAGTAAACTAAGGGCGTCCGGCGCTCCACCAGTGAGTTGGAGATAGAAAGAATAAAAGGGAGTGGGGATAGGGGGAAACTCGACGCGTCGAGCCTCTCTGCATCCCAGTCCTTTTGCGTCTTTCCTTCCCTTCACCGTACTGAACCTCCCATACTCCGCTGCCGTTCTCCCCCTTGCATGTACATTCACACATCTCTCTTCTCTGCTAATCCCCTTTGTTTTTCTTGCTTATTATTATTATTATTATTATCATTATTAATCTTTTTTTTTTTTTTTTTTGGTGGCTGTAGTGTCTCCATGTCAGTTGTTTCTCCTCGTATCAGGTGGACGGTATTGCGGCGGCTGCACCCGTGACAATGGCCTCCGTGCCGCGAATACGCCCGGCCAAATCACGAACGCGTTCGGCGAACAAAGCGAGGGCATACCGGAATATTTGCGACGCGTGCAGCTGCCCAATACTTTCAATGGTGAACCGCATGCGAGTTTTGTCCTTTTCGACGACAATCTTGTCGGCGATTTCGGGGTACACGTCACGGCGGAGGCACTCGCGACAAAGCGTGCAGTTCTCCACCTCCGCCACCTCCGACTCCCCCTCCTCGTTCACGCCAAAGACACCAACAGGGCAAATGCGTTGTAATTTCGTTGCACAATCCCCACGAATCGGTTCACGCAAATAAATGCTTGTCTTGAGCTCGTAGAAACAGACAGAGACGGGGGTCCACTTCGCGTGCACACCACCAATGCCCTTCAGAGCAATCGCCCGCAGCTTTAAACGCTGTCCAGGCCCTAGCTTCGTCAATATAATGTCGGGATGGACAAGAAACACACGGTCCTCGTCGGCACCAGTTGCCCACGCTTCTTGCCCTGGAAGCGGCTTCCACTTAAGATCGCCGCTGTAGACACTCGTCGACTTTGCATCACGCCGTCCTTCAGCAGCAAGTTCAAACACCAACACACGTTGCGGATCAAGAGCATCAAAACCTACTTGATTCGATTCCGTTACAAACTGCATCTTCAACACAGGACCAGCAATTGGAACAAGGCCGATGCGATGGGCGAGAAGTTCGTCCGGCACGACGCTGTCATTTTCCTCAATGAGCATGCGGTCAAATGCAAGGACTGGGACCTCAGTCATCATCAGTCGACGAAACATGTTCGCAATCGGTGGGCTGATGCGTTCTACATCAAATGTCATGGTTTCCACACGTCGGGTAGTGGAGGTGGTGGGAGAAGACTCTGACACGGGCACATCGCCATTCCCCTCTGCCTCTTCTTCATTCGCGTTGAGGTTCCTAGTTGACTCCTCGACCTTCACTGGCGCATGTCGTCTCGGCAACTTCACTGCAGCCGATGTAACTTTGATGTTCGATATCGTCGGCACATCCGGTAGAGCCGTCGGTGGTATCGCCGCCTGTCCACGACCATGTGTGCCTGGCGCGCTGAAAGTCTCTGTGTGCAACGCTTTATCACAGCCAACCCGCACTTTGCTGCCGTAACTCATCCCGCTGCCTGCTTGCGCAATTAGGGACTTTCCCTTTCCGCACTCGCTAGAATTAACGTAATAAATAATAAATAATAATAATAATAATAAACAATAATAAGGAGTAAAACGGCAATAATACGCAGCGACACCAAAACGATTCACGCAAGAGTGGAATCCAAATGAAAGAGGTAGTGGGTAAGGGGAAAAATAGACACATGCCACTTAAAGCCCGTCGTTCTTTCCCACATGAGCAGGATTTAATTGATCCGCATGATACAGTCATCACACACACACACGCAGGAAAAAAAAAAAAAAAGAAACAAAAGGACAGTAAATATGCGGAATGAGAGGAACAATAAGATAACAAAAAAGAAACAAAAAGAAGGTCTAATGCCAATAAAAATATAAATACCCGCCGCTTTTGTTTCTTTTTCTGCCTTTTTTTTTTGCTGTCGTCGGAGGTGCCCTGTGGATCTAATGGAATTAAAGGCTCCCAACATGTCGACACCGGCAGTGGGGACAGAAGCGGCAGCAGTCATGGGAAAAAGACGTGACTAATTTCATAAAATTCCTTTTTCATTCTCTCTTTTATTAACAATCATTTACCGTCTCAGCCTCCCTTCAATTCCTTCCAGTTACCGCAGCCACAACCACACAATTCCACAGCCGAATTTCCGCCAGACTGTTGTTTCCCCCATTCACCCATCCGCTTTCGTTTTGCCCTTGTTGCTTCTGCTACTCCCGTCGTGATGGCGGTGGCGCCTCCTCTGGGCCTGTTGGATGCTCCGCCTCTTTTTTTTTTTAAAAAACTTCCATTTCTTCCACGCTGTTTTTTCTTCTTCCCTTCTTCAGTTGTGGTTCTGCTTTCTTTCAGCGTTGTGCATATATATACGAAGAACTGTGAGAGTAAGTGAGTGGGAGGTGATTTTCTCATGATTGGACTAATTCCGACGATTCCGCACTGCTGGAGGAATCTGCGTCGTCGTCTTCATCCTCCGAGTCGGTCAGAAGACCAATTTGTGGCGGATGAGCTGACTTCTTTGTCACTGCTGGCTCATCGGGTGGAAGCTCTTGTTCGTGTTGTTGCATATAATGATGATAGTGCGGGAAGACGGACCCAATTCCGTTGTTTGACTCATGCAGCGGTAACCCTGCGTTATGACTCCCATCATCATCATTATTGTTGTTGTCTTCGTCGTCCTCCAGCTCCTCGGGGCCGTAATCCGCTCTGTGAAGTAGGCGTGTCACGTCCTCGCGTAGTGTCGACCTCGTCGTTTGTCCCTTATTAAAAACGGGGCGCACGCCGTCAATAATGCGGTCATTTTTAAAGATATTCACCTTCTTGCCCACACAAGTAAAGGACTTGAGCGCCAGTGCACGTGCCTCCACCTTGTGATTGGGCACATCGATGCGCGCGATGTTGCCAACGATGCGTGTTGGCCCCACCTTGACTCCCATTGTCTCGCCCAGCGCCTTTGCAAGAATGAGAGGAATGTTGCCAAACTCTCGCGGTGGCAGCGGATACGCAAGGATCGATGGATGGCGACTGGCCACAACTTCCGCTGGAAGTGGCGGGGGTGGTATTGTGAGTGGATTTATTGCCGGCGTGGAAGGAATAACGCCCATCAACGCCAGTAACTCTGCTGCAGTAGGGGCGTTGGCTGCTGCAACTGTTGCCGTCGGTGCTTGCTGGGAAGCTGCTCCCACCGGTAGATTAGTCCCAGAAGAGGCAGTCGGGAGATTTGCCGCAGGGGATTGAGAAATTGGAAGAGGCGTAGAAGGCCACACCCCAACAGTCACGAGGGGTGCTGTCTGAGCTGAAGACGTTTGTAATGGCACATTTTCTCTCGGGGTACCACTCGACACCGGTTCTGCTGTTTTGTCAGCTGCTGCAGAAGTTCCCCCCTTCATTGCCAAGAGACGCTCCATGAGCGTCATTCCACCACCACCACCCATCCCTCTATTGCTTTCGGCGGCTTCGTTGGCAGGGAAAACAGGCCCCTCCGTCTTTGGTCCCCTGTCGAATGTAAAGTTTCCGATGGAAGCATTAGGATCCACTTGAAGTGGTTTTCTCGCAGTCACGCTCTCGAGGGGTATGTCTGGGAGCACAGCCGGTTTGTTTTGATTATCCGACACAGCGGGTTGAGTAAAGAACGAGGACGCCGTAGGAGCTTCTTCTCCCATTTTCCCCAACTTTGTTGCTTCTGGTGCCGTTCCATCCACTGCGGTTGGCCCAGACGCACGCCCGTCATGCATTTTAAATAGTGCTTTTGGCCTCCTTGCATGCTCCGCGGCTGTCTCGACCTGCATGCCATAAGACGCCATATACTCCTCTGCATTCACCTCCTGGAACTGATATTGTGCATTGCTGCCCGGATCAACTGCTGCGTCAACAGCATTGTATGTCTGCGCCTCGTAAGAGGGATCCACATTTCCTTCGGTTATACCAACCTCGCGTTGCACCTCCTCCTCAAGCTCCTTCAGAAACTTTTCTAGCTCATCCAAGTCATCACCCAAAATTTCCAGGTCTGGGTCCAACCGGCGAAGCACATGAAGATAATAGCCGTGAAACTCGTGCTCCGGGTGAAGAAAGGCAAATAAGTCGGGATACATCTTCAAAAAGGTAGCTTCTTGCTCGCGGGAACGGGCCTTTGCAATGCTCTGTGCCAGGTGCTGAATATTTTTATCCATCACAGGGTCGGGCAGCTTGCCAACGTACGCCGTCGATTGCCTCGCAGCTGTGTCGGAGGCCGCAGTAAGGGCAACACCATCAACAACACCAGCGGCGGCAACGGCAGCGGAAGAAATCGCAGAAAACGAGTTTGTCGTGGAAGAGCCAACGTGCTTCTTAGGAGGCACTACAGCTGTCGGTCGTCCAGGATTTGAACTGTACTGATAATAAGGATACAAGGAATCACCGGGCTTCAAGCCAATATTGATGGCCGTATTATGAGTAGTACGCTCCTCCCGCAACCAATCCTGAGCCCCACGGCCTCGTCTCGACCACCATTCCCATGCTTCCTTCAGTCCAAGTGATGCTTCGCTGCTTGCAGGCCATGACTTATCACACAACAAAGCTCGAATTCGCCGACGGCCCTGATCCCGCATCTGCTGCAGCCACTTTGCCGTTGTTGACCGCATACCGAACGCAAACGTGTCATCGGCTTGCACAAAAACTGGCCTCGCCTGAACCGTGTCATATGGCTTTAATTTTATAGAAACCGCCGGTAATTGGGCGGGTGGCGGGAGACGACGAGCACGTTTTGTTTGGCGCCAGGTGTTTGTTAAGACCGAGGTCCATCCACGACAGCGTGTTGCCGGTGACTTCGGCCATTCGTGCCAGTTGCCGCACGCAACAACAGCGGCATCAGTAAAAAGTGGTACCGCTTCCTTCAAGACGTCAAGCCCCTTTTCCGCGACGCGTGTGCGAAACAAGTATAAGAACGGCTTTTCCGCATGGCGCTGGTATACCTCTTCGACACTCATCACGGATCGGTGTGAGAAGACGGCTGGTTGCATGCTCGCTCGAAGGGGAAGTGTAGTTGAGCCATTTGCTGTCGCATTTATTAGTTTGTCCGGAAATCCAAACCTTGACACTCTCCCATCACTGTGTGGCACTGCACAGGAAGGATACACCGCAGACGTCACGCATCGAAAAACCATTTCTCCTTCATCTAGGTTATTCACCGGAATTTCAAGAATCCGGGATGCTACGGTAGCCGCGTCGATCGTGCTGGTAGTAACTGCCTTAGTGACATCTGTTGCCCCTGCGTTCTTCACAGTAGACCCGCCACCGTCTCCGTCGTTACATGACAACTCACAAGTAGAAGGCAGTCGAAACACACCCGTCGCTTCCAGCACTCGCAGTAGCTCTATTTGTTGGGCCTCAATTAGCATAAAGGCCTTCTTCGAGGTGAGAGTCTCATTAAAAAAGGCGTCCTGTGCTTCTGTGGACACGTTACGTGAAGAAAGCCACGTGTGGTACGCGTTAAAAACACTCGCGACATCACTGCCGGAATCTTGAGAAAAGAACACACGGGCCTCTTTCATTAATTCTTCCGTGTCCGTTTCCATCTTCCCGACAAAGAACATATTGCCCACCATCCACGCTGCCGCAATGACACTCGCTGGCACAACGCAGTCATGGAGTCGCGAGTACATCAAGAGGCGCACTACCTCAACAGGCCATGAGAAACACGTGGCAGCCACACCAATTGGTGATAAACGTGGAATGGAATCCGCACTCGCAATTTCCAAGTGGCCCAAACGCTGAAGGTGATGCTCGACCGCTAAAAAGGTACGACGCAGCTTTTCATAACGGCTTGTCGACGCGGTTGGAACACCGATAAAAATAAAGGGCACCAACTGTGCAACCATCGAGGACAGGAGGTAATTATTTTCCGAACCTTCCAAACTGGCGCCGGCTTCGCGGCAGCGCAGCCCCTCTTCTCGTGCCTGCAAGAGGTGATACAGCTGCACGTACTCATCCCAGCTTAGATTAAAAATGGAGTGGTGACCGGGATCCACGCTGATGTGACGATGTTTGGTGCCGTAGAGGATAGGTTTAGAAATTAATTGAACCACCATGCACACTGGGAATCGAGCAACGTCTTGCTCGCCCTTGTTACCGTCACCTCGGCGAAGACGGGCAATCGTCCGACGGTAGCGTAGCTCTTGCACAAGGCTGTAAGTTGTGACAAAAATGTCTGCATCGGTGCTTTCATCGTACGATGCGTAAGAACGTCGTGCGCAATCCACCACAAGACCAATTTCCCTTGTGGATGGAAGAGCCGAGTGCGCCATGTTGGGGGTTGTCAACAACACCAGTCGCCTTCCACCCCTCGTCGCAGCCTCGCCGGCCTGCAACACACAATCCACCTCCTGCACCGTGAGACAGTCCAGTAGAAGATGCAATGAAAACGATGTTGATTGCTCCAACTCTTCGTTGTCCGTTGAATCACCCAACGCGAGACGAAGTGCCTCCTCTACCACAGAGGCGATGTGTGCATTTGGAACAATGACGACAACAGATGGCAGATGCTGTCGCCTTTCTTCTTGTTTTTGTTGATCGGCGCCTCGTAAAGCCTCCTCTCGCTCCGCACGGTCGTATTTCATCACTGCCTGCACAATGATTGGGCACCAGTAGGATCGAAGTTTCTCGTCATTCGTGAATTCCGCCTCCTCCGCTGCCATAATCCTCGCCACCACCCCAATGTTCTCCACATAGTTGCGAAGATCCTCGGCCGGGTCACGAGGAATAAAGCTACCCTCCTCCTCACACTTCGCAAGCCATTGCATCGTCTCCTCAAGAAGCATTACACACGAGGGGGACCATACTTCGTTGAGGTGCTGCGCCTCAGTACCCGACGTCTTTAGATCCTGCTGTAGCACCTGAGAAAGATTTAGACGGGCTGTAAACTCTTTACCAAAAAATTCTACAATCGTTGTGGCAACGGCATCTTCAAAACAGTCAATCACCACATGCAAAGATCCTCCACGCCTTTTAATTCCATTTTCCTCCCTCAAGTGCCGCAGTGTACTGCGGAGAAGTGACATACAAAGTTCTGTGATTGGTGATCTCAAATGTATATCGTTCAAAATTACACAAGCAACATTTATTAGTAAGGGGTCGCACAACAATTGGCGGACGAGCATCTCAGGTGTGGTGACTGCAATCAACGTTCCCTCCTCTACGTCGTAACGGGTTGGTGTACACACAGCCACCGTCTTCGATGTGGCATCCTCACCGCGCTCCTCACGGAGTCGCTCCACCGTGCGACAAGCGGAAAGACTTGTCAAGCAGACAACAATAACGCGCTTGCTCTTAAAAATTTCTGTCTCCGATATGATCTGTGGCATCTGCAGAGTCCGGCCACTGCCGGGAGGGGCTACAAGCGCCAATACTTGGCTATTGCGCAGTGCGTCAAGGACAGGTCCGCGACACTGATACACAGGCAAGCGCTGACGGTACGGCAACCACTTGCGTCGGTGAATAAGAATTTTCGTCATGGGCGTACGATCCACCCGCTTTGGATCAAATAATTTCATCGGGGCAAGTTTATGCACAGCACGCTCCCGTTCGGCTCCATCACTCATCGAAAGTGCAGCTGCGGCATCAATGAAGCCACCGCCTGCAAACGCCGCGTTCGGTGCTTCCGGCGGCGGGGCACTTTCATCAAGGCGTTTACCCCATCGCTCCACATCCGCCGTCGTGAGAGGCACATCCAATGGGAACGTGTACGCCTTGCGGGTTTCACAAGGACCCTGACGTAAACGCGCGACAACTTCCTCTATGTGCTTCTCGTGATGCTCAGGTGCCTCCGGCGCAAAAAGAAAAGAAGAGAAACGATCACCAGTAAGAAAAAGCGACATTGCGACAAACCAAACCCCTTTTTATTCCTCTACTTTTTGCTCTTAATCTGTGTGCGTTTGTTTTCCGCACTTAATTCCCTTTTGGTGTCGTCTTCGTCCCTCTGCGCCTCCGCCCCCTTCTTTTTTGTTTGTGAGTTTGTCTCCTTCCAGGGAGGGGTGTGTGCGGCGACTCAGCCAGAGCAGCAATCCCAGTTGCACTCTGCGCACACGTACGATTGAGTGCCTTCAATGAGACCCGCCCCCCTCCTCCAAAAAAAAAAAAAAAAATTACGACCGCTGGCCCTCCTCTTTTTCTCCTCTCCCGCTTATTTTTATGCCCTCCGTGCACTGCTGTTTTCCCCTGTCTCGCTCTAAAACAACCCGCGGTAGAAGTCGCACTCCCCTCGTCGGTCGAACGCCCTGTCAACTGCGCCGAAACCCCACACAAAAATCGTCTCCCCTTAATGCTCTTTGCGCTTCACTTTTATGTGCCACATGGCCGCACGCATTTATTGGGTCACGCATAGAAGCGGAGCAAATCAAATTTTTGTTGGTAAAGAAAAAAAAAAAAAAAAAGAAAAAGAAAAAGAAATGTCGCGGCACCCACTCTACAGACAGAAAGTCACCCACAGTAAATACCCATGCGGCTGCATGAAGCCGCAGAGGAAGAGCAGGGGGGTCATCGATATGAAAGATAAAACAACAACAACAACAACGGACAAACACAATGAATTGAAGTACGCGCCAGAAAGTAAAAAACAAAAACAAAACAGGTTGGTGGTCATCCAAGACATGGCATGCACTCATCCCCTCTTCTCACTATGCAGCACACTCGTTCATGTGAAGGACAAGGGCAGAGAAGACGCTATTGATAGAAATGAGTGAATAATTTTACGCGTAAAATAAGAACACCTCAAATAACAACAAAACAAAAACAAAAACCAGGGGAAGCGGTTGCACCGAAAAGTGCGGAAGGGAGAAGCTATCTAATTCATTTCCCTTCATCCTCTTCCCCCATCCCCTCTTCTTGATTCCACTCCCATCACTACAAGTCGGACCCAAGCGATCGCGTGCCCCGCAGCCGCCGCATCTCATCCTCCGTGACGGGGACGCGATTGCTCTGAAGGCTAAGCTCCACAAGTTTTTGCAACTTGTAGTGACGATAACAAAAGGCAAAGACGGCGATGGTGCCAACAAAGCCCAACACCGAGAGAACAATGGTACCCGGGCTTGCCGAGACAGTTGTGCCTAGGATGAATTGGATATCACGGAAGGTGTCCGCCGGAGTCTCTCTACTGCCCGTCATCCAGACAATAGGCTCAGTGGCTGTGTAACGAAACGGTGATGTTTGGTTGCTACTCCACATTCCAAGGTAAAGAGTACGATTTACCATTTGAATATCAACACCAAACGGCGCCAAGTCACGATTCCCCGCCTTGTCAATAGTAAACATCCCCGTAAAGCCATCTATTGAGGTGGACCGAACAAAAGGCATAATGTTAGCACTAAGGTTGAGACTCACCCCCGCATTCACGGCTCGATCAACGCTGTCAATAACTGTGTACGCGGCGTCAATTGCAAACGCCGCCCCATGACGAATGGTGGTGAGATTGCAATAAGTTTCTTCCGCGGCAAATCCGCCTTGCGACAAAATCCGCACCTGATTATTGTATAGACCACTATGTGCAGATTCATTGTTGATGGCTTCCAACCGTTGCGGCTCAACGTATGGAAATATACACAGGGAACTTTGGGCTTTCTCACGTTCCTCTGGGTGTGACGCGGCATATTGACAAAGCTCTTTCCCTAAAAAGAAGATGTATTTTTTCATATAACTTAACTCCGTAAAAAGTTCAAAGAACATATTGGCATCCTCACCGTAGAGTGGCAAAAGAACAATAACAATGCGTGAAATATCCTTCTTGTAAATGGCCTCCATGGCGTTCACGAGTTGTTCCTTGTCTATGCTTGCGATCATATGGGTACGCTCCAGGTGAATATTCCTCTGACGCATCGATTTTTGCATCGATTCCAGACGGGCATTCCCAAACTGGTCATTTAATCCCAAAATGAGCACCCGTTCCCACGCAAAGTAAGCGCACACGTCCCCAAAGACCAAATAATTAAATGAGTCTGTTGGTGTGGAGCGGGAAAAATACGGGTACGCCAAACGGTCCGCAAAGACTCCCTCTGCCGTATTGAAGTCAATTTGCGTGAGGGCAAATTGGTTCACCACCGGTGTAAGCGCCAACGCCACACGACCGCGTCCGGGCCCCAGAAGAACTGAACATGCACGCGCTACAGGGATCAATGAAACCAACCCCTCCACACCGCTCACTCCCGTATTAATCACCAGAGGAATGAAACTCGTTGCCCCGTGTATAGAGCTCGTCTTCTGATTATGACGAAGAAACACATACGCCATGGCGTTAAGAGATTCCGCTTCGGAACAGCTTCTCGCAGCAGCCAAGCATACTGTCACTGCACGCAGAGGCGACGGCAAAATGATGGCTCTTGTTGCTGTCGGGTTAAGGTTTGTGATGACGGGTTGGGATGTACTTGAATTCCAACTCCATGTAACAAGTGGATGGTCAGCCGTGTAAGTCTTAGAAAGCAGAGAATAGACAATCCCTTCGCGCTGTCCTGTTATCGCGTTAAAGGCAACAGTGCCCGTCAAGCCATCAAAGCGCACTGACCGGATGGATGCAGATGAGATGTTACCAGCCAGTGTCACGGCCTGCATTGCGTCAAATAGGTGACTCACAACATACGCACCGTAGTCGTCAAGCTGTTGGAGATCAAAATAGCCCTGCTTGACAAGATTCACTACGGATGTATACTGCGACACAAAAAGCGCACCCCAAAGCTTCACAAGTGGTTGAAAAGAGCCTTGTAAAAATGCAAGCACGTTGACTGCCTCGCGTGAGCCAAGTAAGAAGAGCTCATCCTGTTTTCCAAGACGTACAACAGCAGCACGAAGACGCATGAACTCGTCTTCCTTCACAAAACAAAGAACACCGGCCGGACGATATTCCAACACCTTACGGATGACATTGTCATCATCGTCAGAAGTACCACTAACTTTTATAAACACTTTCGTGACAACTGTTGGGGCCGAACGCGCAAAGGAGATTTGGCTATCCAAAACAGACTCCACCCCTGTCCCGTACGCATCACTGCTGAACACAACGGCAACGGAGTACCATGCTAGCTCAGAAGAGACAGTTTCTAACACACCACGCAAATTGACGATATCTTGCGGCACAACGCATACCGTGTTTGGATTGGTTTCAACATCACACAATTTAGGGTTTGATGTGTGTGCTGAGAGAATTGTGAGATCAGCAGTTTTTTCGTTCCGTCTTAAAGCATCAACAACACCAACCGAGATGTCGGCAGTTTCTACAAGAAACAAAACATCGATAAATTTCTCTTCATGAAAAAAAAGCTGTTCCAATTGTCCCAGGGCGGAGAGTAAACTACCATTTGAATCAAGAATGAAGGGCCTTTGAGAAAACATCTTGGAAATATCCACACTGGAGTTAATGTACTTATCGATAGCTGCCTGCAGTGAAGTATTCGTCATTTTTGTCTGGCGAAGGTCGAGAAGAATGGCGGAGCGGAGAGGCCCCTGTTGGCTATTGACAAACCCTGCCAGCACAAGCAGGCACACCACGGCCGCAGCGATGGACCAACGTGAGTGAAGCGGCATTGGCAACAACTGGAGAGTTCCTTCCGTACGGCTTGCTTTCAACAATAAATACCTCTTGACAGATTCTCTACAACAACAACAACAACAACCAAAGAAAAAACACACAACACCGTCTTTTTCTTCCTTTTTTCCTTTTTTCTCCCCTTTTTGTTTGTGGATGTCTTCTTCAACCTCTGCCAAAAGGAGCTGCCTGCCTACGGTGCAGCACGTCTTGTTCGTCCCAAATAATGATTTTCCTAACGGAGCCCACGTCTGTTTTTAAAATGCGCCTCTTAGACGGGCTTCACGCGGTCTTTTATTTTTTGCTTTTTTCCCTTTCCATGAGAGGATGATGTTGCAGCAACGGGCCAAGGGCAAAAAAAAAAAAAAAAGAAAAAAAAAAAAAAACAAGAAAAGAAAAGGCAGAAGGGCAGGATCAGGTGGCTGCACAACACGGAGAGTCACTTTAAACACATGAGGGGCGGCATTGCACCGGCGATGCATGGAAGCTCCTTAAAAGGGAGTCACACGCTCTCTTCCTTCTAATTTCTAGAAAGAGCGTGCAGTTTGCAACACAAGCGGTCATAAAAGTGAGGAAAATAATAATAATAATAATTATAAAGAGCAAAACCCGGGCTACTTCCCCTCTATAGCGCCAAGCGCAAACTGCGACTGTTTCATTTATTCACGCTGTGTGTCAAAAAACAACAACAGCAAAAAAAAAAAAAAAATGGTGGAGAGAAGAGTAAAAAATGACTGCACTGAAGTGCAGGTCTGATATTCTCTGAGAAAATAAAAGCCATGAGCGAGAAATGATCATACTTCTATCAAAGTCAACAACGACAACGAGGAGTCATTGTGTGTGAGTGCCTTTGGGGGTTGCCCCACCTGTAGGAGGGAAAAAGGAGCAAACAATGGTGTACACCACATCAATAAACATTCTCCTCCCTTTCCTTCTCTCTCGCTATCATGTACGCTCTCATTTGAAGACTTCTCCACCTCTCTCTATTTTTTTATTTTTATTTTTATTTTTTGCTTGGAGACACCATTCCCTTACCAGAAATCCGTATATACGTTCATTGTTGTCCTGTGAATGTCCCATGCAGTCTGTTTCTTCCTCCGGTTTTTTTTTTTCTTTTCTTTTTTTTTTTAAATTTGCCTTTCTTTTGGCTTCACTTTTTTTTTTGTTTTCTTCTTTTTTTTTTATGTCGCGGTTTGTCTGGAGTCCATATAAAACAGGGCTCTTCCTAATCCCATTTTTCTCTATTTTTTTTTTTGTTTTTCCCTTCCCCTTTTCTCTAATATTGCGTCTTTCTTCCACTCTCTGAATATGTGCTAGACACAAATAAATATACGCACCTCTCTGTTCGGATTTAAGGGCCAATATATACAATGTAGTATATATTGCATATAATATACTTTCTAGAGAAACTACAGACGTTCCCCACGTAACTTCAATGCCAGCTGAATGTCCTTTGGGTACACCGTGACGCGGTTGGCGTGCAATGTGCAGAGATTGGCATCAGCGAGAACGGAGGTGACATACAGCTCGGTGGATTCCTGCAGAGCCTCCACGCAGGTAGCGCTCATACGAAATGAGTCCTTTAAGTTCGACACAATCTCTCGCACGAGGCGGCGGAATGGCGCTTTCGCGATGAGAAACTCTGTTGAGCTCTGGTACCGGCGTACTTCGCGCAGCACGACAGTCCCTGGGCGCCATCGGTGCTTCTTCCTTGTGCCGGCGCTGGCCGACTCCTTCTTAGCAACGATGCGACCCTCCGTATGAATCTTGCGCGATGCGAGATTCTTGCGGGGCTTCGGCAACTTTGACGCCGACGAAAAGGCCGAATGCTTCTCCACCGAGGCCACTTTCTTCAGAGATCCCATCGGTTTTGGGTTGTTTTCGTCCTTGTTGGTCTCTTTCCTTGTCTTTTTCTTTTTTTTTCTTTCCGCTTCTTGTATGTATTTCTCTCCTTTTTTTTTTTTTTTTTTTTTGGAGGGGACAACACGGTCTTCTGTGGGTATCAGTGATCCGTGAGGCAAAATAATTTGTCTCTGATGAGGGCCCTCCGCTCCACTATTTCACGTGGTTGCTGTCTGTGCCGCTGCTTTTACCGTGGGAGGCGCTTATCCCACCGCATGCAAGTACACACAAAATTAAATAAAAAAGAAAAGGTAAAAAACAAACAAACGACAACAACATATGAACATTCAACAATGTAAGGAATGAAATTGAGCCAATGAGACGTTCAACGCACAGAATGGTTGGGACCATCTTCGCTTCATGCCCACGCGTTTATACCAATAAACCCCACCCGACAAAACGGCAAAAAGGAACCAACTTTGGGCGTTGCCAAACAAAGCAGCAGCAGCAGCACGCCATCACCGCCGCCGATGCCACTTTTCCGCGGCTTTTGCGCCCACTCCTCTCGTTTTTGAATGGCTCCCCATTTTACACCGTTTTTCTTCCATCTTCTCTTTGCCATTCCCCCCCCCCCCCCCCATCGACAGTCGTCCGATGCCTCATCTATGAAAAAGCGGACGGAAAGAAAAAACAAAAGCGACAGGACGCCGCGACTCTCCTCGCTTTTTTAATTTTTGGGCTCTTTTTTTTTTCCCCCCTCCCCGCCTTCGTTCTTTGGATCTTTTGGTTCCCCCACACAGGCCCTCTCTGCGCTTCTTTTCAGAGCAGCATGCAAAGACGCGAAGCGCTTTGCCAAATGGAACCGCCTTCCTCTCTTTAAGCGCCTCTTTTCGTGGTCGCAGCCTAATTTTCAATGCAATTTGGAAGACAAATATCCCACAACACACAAAAAAGAAAGAGAGTGAGAATGAGAGGGTACGCTGAACACTGGTGAACAGGCCCTCTTCCTTCTCCCTCCCTCCCCCACCCACATGTCCACATATATATATATATATATATAGACACAATGTGCTCTATGGACTCCAGTTTCATTTGTTCATACACGCTTCGAGAGTGTCTCCCTCAGTTTCATTTTCTTTCGTGTTATTTTTATTTTCCTCTATTATTTTAAATTAATATGCAAACGCCCTAACCTAATTATGATCGTGCTGAGTCACGTCTCCTTGGTCGTGTCGCTGCCGCTCAAGTAAAAGGACGAGGTACTGCTCCACCTTTGTCAGGTTGCCCGGCTTCCACTCCACACCAAGGTTGTTCATCGTTGAGGTGAGCCAGTGCCTAACCAACTCCTGCAAGTGTGGGGTGAGGCCAGTTACTCCAACCTCATATAGGCTCACAGAATGCTTGGTTGAGGAGAATGCTGCAACAGTGCCGTACGTGCATGATGGACTCTCTGCGGCGATGGCTGCATAGTGATGGGGTGGCATAGAGAAATCATGTAATGTAAGGTCCAGGTGGATGTGTAAAAAAGGCATCTGATCAATTATTGATTGAGACAGCGACGCCGTGTTTGCACTGCACTGCTGCACGTCAACATCATCGTCATCTGACATCTGCCGCCGTCCCGCATCTTGCAAAATCCACGAAGGAAGAACTGCCGTGACAGAACGTGTAAATACACGACGTTTGGTTCGGTAGAAAGCAACTACAAACAATTCTTGGAGATCAAAATCACTCCAAAGAGCGCTGGCGACGTTGTTGTAGTCTTTCATCGTTTTCAAGAACGTCGTTGGGTCCCGTAACAGAAGTCGGGCTATGTCACCCGAGATTTCCCCTCGAAGTGTGGTGGCATTTTGGGACCCATTCACGACGTTCTGATCCTTCTTCAGGGAGAGAATGAAGGCAGCGCCCTGATTGATGCATCGCAATTCCACAACACAGTGATTTTGCCTCAAGGTTCCTTCCACCGCGTCATCAAAGTAGTAGTTTTCCTGGTACTCTTCATGATCCTCAGCTTGCTGCAGGCTTCCCCCACCATTAGGGTTCACGTCTTCCCGCAAGGAGAATTGGGACCAATGCCGGAGTGACTGCGAGACGGAATCCCTCACGTTATGCGATGAAATCGGCAACTCCCCTCGGCCAGCAAAATACTCGCTGACAGCGCTGGCCTGCGACATCAAGTACTTCGACCCCTGAGACATTCCGGAAGGCAATGGAATGACGGCGGCGGTCTGACAGTCATTTTCTAACCACCTGAGAACTTCATTGTAGCCTTCAGCGCCCGTGATACAGAGGTGTACCCCAGTGATATCCAGAGAAGGAGCTCTTAATCCTTCCGAGTACTTCATAAACCGTGAGGACTTGCTTTCCAAACTCCTACTGTACTTAATGTGGTGTAGTTGTAGGAAGTGCTCCAGCTCCTCGCGAACGTCATTAACCGGATCCGTAATTTCCGTCACTTCAATTTCATATTTTTTTCCGAAAGGAAAGTCTGTCTCATCTAAACGAACGCTTGCACCCTGCAGGAGACTCTTTTCTCTTAGGGCGTGTTCGTGTGTTCCCGTCTCATTCCCATAACTGTCCGGCGAGACGTAATGGTACACCCTGCGGTGTGAACTTAGAGATCCCACCATTTCAATGGGCTCCGCTGCGCCCGACATGTTTTCAAGGGACTCCAGCTTTTGAATCATGCAATTGATGGGGGCGTTTGAGTCCTCCCTCGCGTGGGAGCAATGTCGCCTCAGCACCTCCATGAGGTCCACACCACTGAGAATCTCGTCCTTGACCGCCTCCGGTAGTTTGTGTACATGGCTGGCAAAATACATCTGGTCTCCTCTCTCCACCCTGTTATTATTCTTCAACGCCAGAGAAGAAAGTTTCTGCGTCGCCGTCTCCCCCGCAGCTACCGGTACTCGAAGCCTCAGCACATCACTGTTCTGCTTCAGAAGTCGCGAGGGAAAATCAAAAAAGTAATCCACGTAAATTTCTTCGCCCTGCAGACGCAAAGATGGGAGCTGCGCCAATCGCTGGAAGTTGTCCCTGTCTTCGAGAAGGAGTTTAATACCCACCTGAATTCCATTTGCCTCCCCCATTCCCAAGGCCTTTTGCCTCACCTGAAACCACCACAATTTAAGAAAAAAAAAAAAAAAAGGATACTAACAAGCCGCTACCGCCACAATAAAACCAAAAAGAGAGAGAGAGAAAATCATGAAGCCGATATCCCATTAACAGGTAGTTTCCCACATGACGTTTCCCAACCAAAAAAGGCAGCAGCGGGTATGTGCACAACACAAGTAACCAAAAACATAAAAAGTAACACACCCTAATACGTGTGCATAAATGGTTTTTTTTTTTTTTAATACGCCTCAACCTTTTCACTTTTCGTCCACTGACTCTGCCACCTCCACCATAAGAAGCGTGTCGTCGCTGTAGTCTATTTCCATCAGTGCACGCACACCGAGAAGAGCTGCCAAAGCAAACACAAAAAAGCTCACGACACCTATCAGATAACACTGCGAAGAAGGGCTCATTGGTGCAAGAACATCGGGCGCAACGGGGCGTTCTTGGACGTTCTTTTGGCCCTCCGTCTCCAGCGCCATCGTCGCGACGACGGCCATCGTAAATAAAACAAAACGAGAAAAAAATGTCTGCATATATATATATATATATATATATATATATATATATATATATATATATTCTCACTCTTCGGACAAGCTACTCCCCCTTTTTACAATTTTCTTTTCCTTTTTCTTCTCCCTCCCCTAACCCTGCTTCTCTCTGTGGGTGCGTCTCCTGTTCCCTCACGCTCTACCCGTACCCCGTGTGTATCCTTGTCAGATTGTTGCGTGTCCACGCACCCTGCAACTCACAGAGCGGAGCTGCACCTTCCTACACCGCGCGGATTCTCCCCTCACGGCCACAACACACGCAAATAAATGCGAAAAAGCAAAACAGCAGATAAAAACGGAGAAAAAAAAGGAGGGGGGTTGCGATTCAGAGCGTGCAGGCATTCGGGGAAAGGGAGAATATATAAAGGACGGATGCAATACCATCCCTTGCGTGTGGGGTTGGTGGGCCATCGGAGGCATCCCTGCCAATTGCACACAAAGCTCTAGGGAGAAAATAGAATCACCAGAAGAACAACACAAATAATAACAGCAAAAAAAAAGAAGCAAACAAACAAACAAACAAAACAAACAAACAAACAAAAACAACAACCAAAAGAGGGCGGTGTGCTTGTGTGTGTGGGGCGTAAGGGGGTGGGGGGTGGGTAAATAAATAATACACTGATCATAATCACCAAGTCCCTTCTCCAGTTTTTTTGCCCCATTGCTCCGCATTTCTCCGTATGGCTCTAATTTCAGGGCATGCGTGCTGGAGAGAGAGAAGAAGGTGAAAGGGCTC